ATGAAAAAAACCACCTTCCTTGTTGGGGGGGGGGGGGAGTTGGTACCTGGGTATCATCTATAAATAAGGAGCTCAACACCATTTATGATGCAGAAACGCTGACAAGACAGGATATATGAATACAGAAGGGGATGATGTGCTAGATAGGGTAGAAAAGGAGGAAAGAGCATTTAGGATGTTGATAGTGAGTTTTTTATCGTTCCTCCTTCCCATTTTAGTCTTCTTCATAAGTATTATCGTACAGGGGACTATGAGTGAAATGCTAATGAAAAGGCTTGACTCTACTTCATACCTTTTACCAACTTCAAATAAACATGACCTGCCATCCTTATGTCATCCATTACGATTTTCCTATCATTCCCATATCTACTGTTCCCACTTAACCATCTGACCGTCTGTTGTTTTCCCAATACAATAACTCCCTTTCATCGCAGATTTGAATGTTATCATTCCTTTCATCTCAACCTCTCTGTCACTCCCTTTCATAACACGTCATCTACTTATCTCTTACTTCTCTACATATTCCTATCCCCTACTTTCCTGATGAACATGGTGTATCGGAGGAATATCTTCATGTTCGTTCAAAGTGAAAGAAAGAATATTCCACTCTCCTCCGAGACACCCCCGACCCTTCTACCTTAATACCCCTCATCTGAATGATCCCCTACGTTTTCCGATTGATCATCATGTTCATCCTCTTAAAATCCCTTTCATATCCGTCACTCACACCCGCTTCCTTTCATCTCCGACATTCCCCTAAACGCCTTTGTTCATATCATTCACCACCCCAGTGACCTCCTTTCATCTCCACGCCCTCACACCATATACACCCTCTCCAGAATCCCTTTTTGTATTCTTACCGCAAATCAATGACTTTCGTATTGATCTCCCTTTCATATCCATAGCATACCCACCCTATGATCCTATCTATCTCCCTTTCATCTTCATAGCATATACACCCCGATGATCCTACACTATCTCTCTTTCATACAGATACCCAATACACCCCATGATCTTCTTTTGTCTACCTTTCATATACAATACCCTAACCACCCAATGATTTTCCTTTTCCTTTTTCTCCCTTTTATCCACCTGATCGTTAAATCAAAGAAACGATCTTAAGTCTTTCCCTTTCATCCTTAAAATATGATCTCCCGTCACCCGTGTCTATCAATATTCAAAGGAGTACACCTCGTTGTCTCACTTAACAATCAAGACTCTCAAGGCTCTTAATGTCCACATTATCCCACTTCTAGAACGTATCAATTATCTGACATCGGCCTACAAATATCTCAATCAGAGATAACATCAATAACTCACATATCACTTGACTTTTTCTGATATTTCGCCCAAGCAGATCTGGTCACAACCTAGTACCTCAAAAGTTAGGCAAAAGTGGAAGAACATTCAATTGTCTAGACAAAGAAGACGAAGAGGAAAGGTCGAACAGGGAATTTAAATCATTCTCGTACCAATCGCATAACTTGGTCTTTCCCACCGATTTCAAGCAAACGAAGATCTTCATAAAACCCATTTGACTATATCCCTCGTTTATCTGATCGCTGATCTTTGTCAACCAACCTTCATCTGATTTCGAATCGTGGTCAACCAACTTCTGTCTGATACTCAAATCCTGTCAATCAACTTCTATTTGACCCTCAAATCTGGTCAACCAACATCCACATCCAAAAAGTGATTGGAAAAGAATAATCAAGATGATTATCCCAACTTCATCATCCACACCAATCTCAATAAATCCAAGTAAGTTTCCTCTCATCAGATTCAAGATACTCGATATCAAAGTTAATATTCAGCTTTCACACTTTTACCTCGTCTAAACATTCTTTCATCTTATTCCACCTCCACCTCATCATCTACGACAACATCAACCACCGTAACATTCACAACCTCAACCTCAACTTCTAGTCTACCAACGTCAAGTATTTCATCTACTTTTTCATCATTAGTATCTTCGAATAATCCTTCTTCTACCCCTCTACCGACTCAAAAGGGAGAAACGTACAATGTTCAAGATATACCTATAATACCGGATGATAACCATGTGATCACTACTGGTACTCCTGAGATGTACGATGTGGGATATGCAGCTGAGGCAAGTACGACTTATGTTAGATTTTCTTATGCACCGTGAGTTTTCCTTACTCGTCTTTATAAAAGTCACTCTTGTTACCCTTTGTAATGTCATTTCCAGCTCTCTCATCATAGATGGCTCTTTTGATTCGGGTATAGTGATGGAGAAAATGAGGGATAAGCGCTGATGAAATAGTCGGACAAAATGTATTGGTCGAATAGCTTTACTTGGTTTAGCAAGTACTATCATCTTACATCTTCTTTGAATCTTTGAGAGGGCGTTGAGTGGAGGACATACTGGTCATATCCGTTGAGCTTCGTAGCATTCATCATAACATACTGCATAACACATGAATATCACCTAAGTAGACCACATTGCACCATTTGTATCTTGTACACAATGAGATAGTCCGCCGCTCAGATGGTCAGGTAATCAATCATCTGATCATCCTACTGACCAAATATTCCCTCAACACACCCGTACCTCCCATCAAACCCCATTCTGCTCTTCTCACACTGGAGCCTTCATGAAGGGAAGGACCAAGTGAAGTGAGGATGACTTGTATTTCGGCTTTACGATTCAAATGAAGCATATGCGCTAGTTCCCGTCTCCACGTCAGCACCCAATCTGAGTGTTAGGACAAAGAGACGGGAAGTGTAGACGTACTTCCATTCCGATGGGATATCACTTCGCAACATACTCATGGCCTTCTTATCAGCACTAAATCATTAGTCGAGGAGGATGAAGAACGGACCTTTTGCACATCCTTGTCGGTCAATTCCAGTAGATCATCATACGCTACCCCCGCGCTGCTGATCAGTCTCATTTCCATTATGTTTTGAGGTCTTTCGAAAACAGCAAGCAGGGCACAAATACAGAGGAGCTCTATTGGGGGACTGAAAAGACAACAGGTGACTTGTAGATGCAGCGGTCTGACACCATAGTCTCTGCGCTATTGATGGCTTGACATTCAAGAACAATGGAGGGATACCGTGCATGGTGAGGATCGGGCATGACAAGGGACACCTACCTGATCCAGTCACTGGCCTTCACACCTAACCACTGCAATCTCTCCCCAAGAGCTAAATCCGCATGCTCAACGGAATACCTTGTAGCCTCAGATCCATATGTATAAACTGAAAGAATGTCGAGACCGTGAGGATCGGCATCTACCAAAGCATGAAATTTCACACTGCTCGTCAGTTATGAATTCCCATTATCTGACACATCTCCGCCAAAACACACTCCAGTGTCTGATGTGACGAAGGACTTGCAGGGCACTCAGCTCTTCACAGAAAGGAGAGTGGACACTTGCTTTGGGAACGTCTCAGAGGCCAGATGCAACAGCTGAATCGTCGCTAGATCAGGATACCCTTTGCCCTGTCTGGTCAGCGGGAAATCTCCGCGTGAACTCGCACTCACCGTGACTAGCATCCCCGGACCCAAACCATTGTCCTCGAGTAGTTTCATACCCAAACATGTCTGGAAGATAGCCTGCACTCAGCCCCACCCTGGATTTGTTGTCAAGTCTCACGTCTTTCTCAATCACCAACACCCACTCCACCTTCCCCACCAGAGCCTGAACTTTCTCAGCGGGAGGAATGAGAGAAGCCTTCGAGTCAATGATGAAACGTATGGAGCAACAATGGCTCACGGTAGAGGGTGACAGTACTATCTGTTCCCCATTCTTCAGTACCAGCCGGAGGGAGCTAGACGAAGCGAGCCCTTTGGCCGATGCACAGACATTGAAGTCTCGACGTTTAAGACCAGCGGTGGCAACGAGGTCATCGACGAGCTGCATGTTAATTCCAGGACTTCTTTGAAAGGCTTAGTGGTCACAGCACATGTATTGTTAGACGGCCGTGCACTCATTTGAGCATGTGAGTGGAGGGCGAACATGCATTGAGTGACTGGGCGTATAGAGAGTTTGATGAAGCGCCAGGAAAGCGTAACAAGTGATCGCACGAGAAGAATGAACATTCAATGACCCACCTTGTCCACCACAGCTTGGGTCTTGAACAACCCGACATCTTTGTAATAGATATCTCTTCTCGTCAGCTCCTCCTTCTCCGGTTCGAACAGCTCACCGTTTCGTCATGACACAATCCGTCAAAATCGCCTCGTACAAAAGCGAAGAGATACGCAAAACGCAAGCTGGGCCTCAGGGAACGGACGCATCTGCCAGTGCCAAACGCACCCAGCTTATCCATCCCAGCTCCTGGAGTGTTCGAGCCCGGTTCTTCCGGTACAGTGATCACTTGGAATCCCCTATCATATCAGCGAGCCATCGGTGTACTCATTTCTGTGTTTTCACCCAGTGACACGGTTGATTAATTTTATCTCAACGCCAGGTCGCTCTGTCGCATTCGAGGTTTTACTGGGCGAGACCGGTCTAGGAACCGATTCAACACAGCTGACGTCAATCCCATGTTCATCACGACGTCGTTTGATACTACTGGTCGAGCGCGAACTGGCACTACTCGTATGACTCTCTTGGGCCTCTTCTTGAGATTGTGAGGCGTCAGGAATGGCGCTTTTGGGCTGTAATTTCGCATTCTTGATTCGGGTGATTAGACGGACAGAATCACGGAGTTGTGCGAAAAGATTGAGGGTGATGGATTCCAGAAATCGAAGAGCCTGTTCTCTAAGTAATCAGCAAGATGTGAGTGACTGTCTCCGGGATGGTCTGACCGAGAAGATGTGTCATTTTGCCTATTGCTTGATGTTTCGCCAGAAGAGACCAGTGTTTGGGCTTGTGGTCTAGTTTTTAGTTCTTTCAGTGTTCGGTGAGTAGGAGCTAGTGAACTTGGACCGGAAGGTTCACAATGGTATGGGACGGAATTACCCGTATCTTGACAGTGAGTGTTGTTATGCGAGAGACTTTGAGTCAATGGTGGAGCAGGCAATGGTCTAGGATGTGGAGCATTTGGGGGAGAAATGTTCAGTTCTAGCTGGTTATCAAGCTGTTCAGCACCACGACGGAGAAGAAGAGCGAGCATAGCTTGGTCGTCCATCCCATGGGGGTCATTATCCGGGGCATGCGCTTGATTGTTCGGCAAAGAGGAAGTGAGAGACATGACGGATGGGATGAGTATGAGTGTGTGATGAGTCAGATAGTAATCCAGTGATTCAGTGAGCGGTTAAGCGAAGAGAAGCGGTGTCAATGGACGAGACGAAAGAGGAAGAAGCGGAGGGGAGAAGGAGAGGAGGGAAAGAAGGAGATGTCGATGGGGATGTGGTGTTTGTTGGGGGACGAGGCCCGAGCGCACGGCAGTCATGATCATGGGATCATGGGGATCGATCGACATATTATATATTGGGGTCATCTCCACGTCGCTAGTTGTACGAGTACACTGTCAATCAGGTTCCGACAGGCCGACAGGGGTGAAGAGAAGAACATTTCAGATGACTTCTTTATGTTCTCACATCTCTTCTGTTTTCCAGGGCGGGTCTATGGCTCGGAGTCAGATGAAGACCGGCGAAGGCCGATTGGTTGACTGCAATCGACTTGATATGGCGCCATTTCCGTCTCCGCCTTTCAACATTTTTCCACTCCTCCCCTGCGCTATCTCACAAAGCATCGGACACATTTACATCCAACCTCTCCACAAAACCCAAGCAGACGTCCTCCTTCCGACGTCGTATGCCAAGTGCACTGAAAAGTTTACTTAGATCAACTCGACATCTCCATCTCCCTGTCCCCAAAACCTTCACATCGTTTCGACGAAATTTGACATCAACTCCGCCCGTCATGTCTATAAGTAAAGATGCTCTCGTACCTCTCGCCAAGAGAATGTTCGATGGTGCTACTCACAAGCTCGATGTATGGTCCATTTTCACGTAAGCAGCTTCCTCTAAATTCTCCTAGCTCACCAGACGCATTCCTCCTCCTTCTTGATACTCTCACTGATGATGTTCATATATCTCGCAGGGTTGGACCGGAAAGGAAGAGGAATATATTGTTGACTCTTTGCAGACCCGCAAATGTCCCACCTGATTGTATCAACCTCGGTCAGGGATTCATGAATTGGGCTCCTCCCGATTGGATCCGTGAAGCCTCTCACGAGTCAATGGATACGAATGCGATGAGCCATCATTATTCTCATCCTCGTGGTCGACCGAGACTCATACAAGCTATCAGCAAACATTACTCTCCTCAGTTCGAAAATCTCGTTAAAGAAGGACGAACGTTGCAAACCGAGGAGATAGTAGTGACCGCTGGAGCAAACTGCGGTGAGTATACGCCCTTTCCCCTTTCACAACAGTTCATCACCGGCCGACCAGCGAACAATCATGCGCTCGCCAATACAATGTGTGTGGATGATGTTCTCACGTTGAATAGGCATGTACGCAGCACTTGTAGCTCATCTTCAACCTGGGGACGAAGTAATCCTCATCGAACCATATTTCGATCAATACTTCGCTAGCATTCACTTCCAAGGAGGTGTACCAGTCTTCGTACCTCTTCATCCCCCTCCAGTCGAGGCCGAGCCATCAGACGTTGCCAACGGCACTAACGGCCCCAACGGACATCCAAAACGACATGTTTATTCCTCCTCCGAATGGACATTGGATCTTGACGAATTCCGTGCCGCTTTCACACCCCGAACGAAATGCGTCATCATTAACACACCTCATAATCCCGTAGGCAAGGTGTTCAGTCGTGAGGAGCTTGAGGGGATCGCCAAGATTTGTGTGGAGAACAAAGTCTTGGTCCTGAGTGACGAAGTGTACGATGTGATGGTGTATGATGGGTTGGAGCATGTTCGGATCGCTTCGTTACCTGGGATGTGGGAGAGAACTTTGACTGTGTGTTCAGCTGGAAGTGAGTTTGTTTCGGACTGGGATCGAAATCAATGGCTGATGGTCCACAGAGGCTTTTGCTTGTACAGGATGGCGTGTTGGTGAGTGGACTTTCCATGTCTACCACCTATTGTCACTTGCTTAACTCACCCTCACTCATGAAGATATAATAATTGCTACCCACCTGCTACCATCTCTTTCCCTCGTGTGGTGTCGGTAGACTTGAAGCGTTTTCCAATACATTTCTCTTGCATATCATTTCTCTCTTTCCCTCCGTCATAAATCCTCCGTTCATCTTCGCTACCGTCTCACTCTCGGTTGTCTCACGTACCTCGCGAAAAACACGGAATTGTACTTACTTCAGGCTGGCTCATGGGTCCTCCTCCACTCGTATCCGCCACTCTCGCAGCTCATTCCCGTATCGTATTCTGTACAAACTCCCCTATGCAAGAAGCCGTCGCCATCGGACTCGAAGGTGCCAAAGAACATAATTTCTTCCCCAAACAATTAGAAGAATATAAAGCTAGGAGACAGGTCATCACTTCTTATTTCGATCAATTGGGTTTATCTTATACTATGCCAGAAGGAGGATATTTCGTTTTGGTAGATATGAGTCCTGTCAAAGTACCTGAGGGATATCCTATTCCTCCGACTTGTCAGGGTAGAGGTAAAGATTTCGAACTTTGTTGGTGGTTATGTCAAGAGATCAAGGTGGTGGGGATTCCACCCAGCGAGGTGAGTTGATCGATGTTTTCCGTCTACCCCCTTTTTCAACTCTTCGCCAATCAATCTAAAATGAGTTGGTATCACCCCTAAATTTTATTTGGGCCTTGTTTACACGTTTCAACATGGTTGTCAGCGGAGTACCTCGTGGATGTTTAAAATTGAGACAAGACGAAGGTACCGGATGATAGGTAGTCGTTGCTGACACGAATAGTTCTACTGCGAAGAACATGTGAACATTGGGGAACGGTTCGCACGGTTCGCTTTTGTAAGCTCGTTCCTTCCTTCCTGGTTTATCTGTCGTATAGCGTAGTGTCACTCTTTTGCATCTTCTCAACTACATACCCATCCTACAACCTCGTTCCGTCTCTTCTCGCCTTTCTGCATCATCTCCTGCTCCCATCCTTTCCTCCCACCCGACTCGCATCTTAGAAGATGTGGGATGCTTTCCATTCTCATCGACTATAACTTCAAAAGCGAGTTTACCAGCACGTCTATTGCAAATTTGGTCTGAGGACAGAGAAGGGTTCATGCTAATATTAGTGCAAAGACTTGGACCTATTACACCAAGCTGGTAAACGTCTTCTTCGTCTTAAAGAATTCATGTGATCTCTTTTGGTGTCAAATTACTAGATAACTGCAGTGTGGGGATCTAGAACGGGGCAAAATATCAAAGATGCATCTAGAATTTTACTCTTTAAACCTTTCTACTGATAAATCACATTCCACCATTCTTTCTCACTTTCCAATCGCATCCACTAATCTCTCGACACTTGTAGAGCACATCCACCAATAATCAAGGTGAGACATCAAGCAGGGTATACAAGTAAATGTACTTGATCCGAGACTGAGATGACTATCACGCCTTGAACAAACCGATTTGTTCAAAGTATGCAAGAGTATCACGAATACTTTCTTCTAATGTATGGTCTAAACATTAGTGTCAGGTTTTCCATATTGAATCCTCAAATCTATCTCTCACACTCTGACGAAATAATTGGAATCCTCAAATTCATCTCTCACACTCTGACGAAATAGTCGGAATCCTTACATCTATCTCCTACACTGTTGAAAAGTGGTTTGACGGTGATGTGAGAACGAAATGAGGGCGATCGGAACAAGAGTCAAAGGGAAGAAGCTGAAGTGGACGTGGGTCAGGATGAGAAGGACGATAAGCTAAAGAGAGGACAATCGAGTCATGTGTTTGACTTGGTGGCAGAGACGGAATGGTTGTAGGTAAATGAAAACGAGATGATAAAGAGGGAACAAACTCACATTCTACACCTAACTCTTTAGTAGCTTTAGCCCCTGGGAAAATATAAGATACATCCTTTGAAGGAAGTTTTTCAGGATTACCAAGAGGAATGTATTTGTCTAAATCTGGACGAACGGAACGAGCTACATTGACAAGAAGTTGATTATCGTATGCTATTTTGTCAATTTTATCTCTACTCCTACACCTCTAAATCTTTCATCTTTGAAGGAAAACTTTATGAGGCGAACGAGCGATATTGACGAAAAGTTGATCTTTGTATGAGGGATTCATTAGATGGAAAATTGCTTTGTGGAACAGAGAGGATGTCAAATGAATGTTCGAACGTTGACGAAATAGTGTGGTGGGTTTGACGTAAGGAGAGTGATGTTGTCATTGAACGAAGAGCTGAGAAGGTAGGACGTCACTCACTAGGACCATTCAAGATATACGCTCCGGAAGTTTTACGAACAACAACTTCGTAAAATGCTTTTGCGACATCACGAGCCTAAATCAAAATCAGCCTTTAGTACCAGAAAAAGGATAGGGTGTTTTAAAGAAAACTCACATCAACACTGAGGAACCCGAGATCAGGTTGGACAGGAGAATCTTTACCACTGATCAAAGCTAACATATTTCTGCTTGATACACTAGCTGTGGGTACTCCTTCGGGAGAAGTTACATCTAACGAAGGACCGGATACCACTGAAGTGTCAGTTATCCATTCTCCGTTATGTATTTCTTGATTTCGCCATCTTGGGAATTGATGGGATCAAAGACTCCGTGAATTCCGGGAGATGGGTACTACTCGTACTGTACCTTTCGGACATGGACATGTGGTAACTTCGAATCGTGTGCGAAACGAAAGGGTTGGTTTTAGATTGAATGCACTTTGGTAGTGTATGGGTATGTAACACGGAGAGAAGGGAAAGTATTAAGTGTACAAGTAAGTTATTCCAGACGTACTTGTAGGTCGGATCAACGTCAAAGTGAATTTAGCTCCAAGAGCAGCATGTACTTTGATAGCTTCTTGTTCGGTAAGTTCCTTCATCTTTCCGTATCTGGTAACCCATCCAATCATACTGCAAGTCAGTGTTCACCCCTGATATATCAAAACTTTGCTCAATGGATATAAGCCTACTGCAAGAAGGAACAATTGTGTTATGTAAAGAATGTGATGTTACATGGACGGTGAAATACTCATGTTGATGGTAAATGGATAGCAAAACTCACCTGTCCAAAGTCGCATTGGCAGCTTGTTCCTCTGTAACGGGACTAACATCTTCTTCACTGTACGTCTTGCCTGGCTCTCCTTGAAATCCGTTGAAGGGGTCGAGATGAAGGGCTGGAAATTAGCAACTAGCTCACGGCTCGGGAGTGTTGACTATACGAGGGTGATATATTTCACAAAGCGGACAAGCTTTGGAAGTAGGTAGAAAGGATGAGGAGACACAAATAGCAGGTAGGGAGGTACATGTGGAGGAGGAAGTGCGTAAGACTCACCACAAGATGACATGACGGAAAAGGCTTCGATAGTCGGAACTTTGCTTGCCGCAGTAAGGAGGTTGGTGACGTCCGCTTTGGCATCACCGACGTAAGATTCCCATCCTTTTCCTTCCCTATATTATCAGCGACTCTCCTCTCACACATTGACTCCATCGGATAGGAATTGAACAAGCTAATCCGAGTTAAGTGATCTACGACAACAATATAATTGTATGTGGTATCAACCAAAGAGGGAGGAGATGTTGACAAGATAAACAACTTACATGTCCATAGGAGTAGCAATATGAACAACCTATGATCTCAGTTTTACTTCATCAACAAACACGATGAACTCACAGCCGCGACACCTTCCAAGAGCTTGGTAACATCTCCACTCAAAGAAGGGACAACAATAAGTTCCAACCTTCCTTCTTGGGCATACTTGACAAACGTTGGGTTCTCACGTACCAGCTGAGCTTTAGATTCAGATCGGACTGAACCACGGACATCCCAACCGTGCTCCAGGAACCAGAGAGCGGTATGAAGTGCGATGAAACCGTTTTGACCGGTGATGGCGGCGATCTTGTTGGTCATTTCGACTAGGAGGTATTTGTATTCAAACGGTTATATACAGTGAAATGAGTGGGATAAGAAGTCAGAATGAAGGTTTGGAAAGTTGAGAAATCCGTCAGTAAATCAACTTCTTATATACACTTTCAGACCCAACAAATCGTCTGACAAAGATATTGTTCGACATCTACGAGTAGACCGAGCCGAAGTGATAGAGAAGAGTTATCTCCGTCGGAAAACAAGTGAAAGAAACCTCCAACGGAAGTACAGAACAACCAGCCGTCGGGGGTGGAAAGTGGATTATCGGTGTGGTTATGATTTCGGTTTGTACCATGCCGCCGGCTATCGGCGAAGGTTTGTCACTTTCCGTAATCTTCGGTCACGGATTCCCCTTTTGGGTTCATTTTGATCCCATCCGCGGTAAATTGTAATTTCGGTTTCCTCTGCTTTTATGCTTAAGGTAAAACCATGTCAGAAACGTCGTCAGTAAGGGAATCGGAGTGAGAAAAAAGGAGAAGTCATGACCGACGGTGAGTTTGGTCAGCTTGAAGGCCAGGGATGTAGTTGCAGCTCCGATGGAACTTGACCAAGTTCCGACGGAAGTTAAGTGTCGGAGGGCCTTGACAGCGGTTCTATGTCGATGGCCGAAGCCGATGGGCTTGTTGATCCGTAAATGTTGGTCGGGTTGTCAGAATCCAAACGGCAAACGGATGAGCATGATGAAGAAATGTTGAGAGATGGTGCGAGAATACGGAGATGTCAAGGTGATACGGAAATAGCGGCAGTTTGACAAGGTACCATCATCGTCATCAGTGGCATCAAATTGCGTCTATCGTGGCCAAAGTCCATCTTGGAGGTTTGTACGTTGACAGTATCTGTAAGTATCGCATGAGTATCATGAAAAGAAAACAAAGATATAAGAGGTTGATAGATGAACCATCGGTTGACTGTCCGTCTTCAGGATCACCGATCACCGATCCTTGTGATACACTGTCGTTCTCAGTTTCTATGAGGGAGAGCGAGTTTCATCCCGATGTCACCGGTCACGTGGGATGACACCCTCTGATGGAGCCCCGGATCGACAGAGCGTCATAGAATCGTGTCATGACGTCCTTCTCTTCTTTCTCCCCACATCTTCAATACTCAAATACCTAGCCCCACCATGCCATCACCTTCCCATTCTTCCCACTTTACTTCCAAACAAACATCAATAACTATCAGAGATCAACATGAGTAACGAACAGACTTTCTTCAGGTTAGTCTCTTCCTTTCCTGAATTCCCGACCTGGCTATCCACCTATCACTCCTCTGTTCACCATTAAACTCATATTCCCTACCACGGCGTTCTGGGAAACCCGTCCTGTTCCTGATCCGAAGGTAGAACCGCGACTGATATACAGCGGACAACCAGGTACTACAGGTCGTGAACCTTTCGAAGATTCCACCGCTACCGGTCCTGGGGATCAATTCGTCCAAGGTGGTAATCAGCATCACGGACATCACCACCACCATCATCACCATCAAGAAGGTGCTATTGGCGGAGGATTAGGTGCAGCCGGTACTACCGGCTTCGAAGGTGGACAAAGGGGTCAGGATCAATACGGAGCAGTCGGAGCAGGTCAAACTGGGTTCGAAAACAGACAAACTGGCCAGGATCAATTTGGAACTCCTCAAGGCAATTATGCAGGTGGACAGGTATGTCCACCTCTTTCTCACATCATTTCGTGTATTCCCTCCCAATGATAATTGTTTACGTCACTATGACATACCAACAGAGGAGACGATGAAAGGGAGCGATCGTTGATGAGAAGGGCAACCAAGATGCTTTTGATACCGGTCGTACTGGTGCCACCCAGGCTGGTGTACCGGGGGCTGGTATCGGTGGATACGGACCTGCCAAAACGGGCGGTGAACATGCTGATCGAGTTGGGAACTTGAATCAAGGAGCAGCCTTGTCGGACCGTACGACTAACCAGGGTCCTCAGACCACCGGAGCAGCCGGAACGGATAGGTTTGATTCGGACAAGGTTTGGGGTGCTGGTGCAGCAGGAGAGGAGAGGTGAGTTATTCTCATCTTTCACAAGCTGTGAGAAGACTGACAAGATAGGGGTGCTGGATGGGAAGGAGGTGAGGGTAAAGCTCAACTGAAATCTGGTGGATTACAGGGAGTGGTGAGTGACTTACTTCTCATCCAGCACACATCCACTTCATCTCCATCCCCCCTTTCCCCTTGTCTTCGTCTTTTTGAAACTGTTGGCCGTCGTCACATTATCAATCATATGCATCAATCGATCTGTTTGTTCACGGATGCTATAATGTTGGGTGACTTTGGAGGCCGAGTATCAGAGAGGTTCCACGATAGTCAAATCGACGCTGACTGTTCAGTTTGCCACGTCCGACAAAGATTTCGTCAATCGGGAACGTCTTGGAGAAGGGGCGTATCACGATGACAATGCTCGATTCAAGGGCAACCTCGATGGTCCACATGGCCATTCCGCCTTGACGGGTCGAGAAGGGACTTATGAACGTAACCCTGTTGCTCAGGCCAAATCGAGGTCGGGTGAGGCGGTACATCCCAATGATCCAAACTTTGGGAGTGGAGAACGTGCGGGTGAGCAGGGCGTAGAAGAGGGAGAAGTTCAGAATAAGAGTATCTTTCAAAAGGTGAAGGATGCTATCATTTGAGGTTGTCAAAACATCAAGAGCCAAAGAGTCGTCTTCAGAAACAGCATGTTTGGTTGTGGAATGAAAAGTCTAAGGAATGAATCATGAACTAAGTAGCACACGGAATGTATATAGCATGTATTGATTATTCACTTTGGTTAATGTCACGCAGGTACTTCGTCGTACTGATATAGTTGTTAGAGGCTCTTCAGTAAGTCACAAGTCAAGATGTGAACAAACATCATTCAAAATCACACGTTGCATCGTTTCTACTATCATACCTGAAATTCGTGAATCGTAGCTCGGGCCTACAACTCTAGTCGTATACCCTTTCCATGATTTCTTTCGTGACATGCACATTGACATTGACATGGTGGTTGGGAAGAGGTTTTGTGAATCAAGAAGGGTTGTTGAAAAGGATATTGACTGGTGAACCAAAAGGGACAAGAACATGAGATGATTCGATAGAGATTTGGGAAGTTTAAGATGTGAAGATATATGGGAAAGAGGAAGAAACTCGACTGCAATAAACACAGACGACGACAGGCAAAAGAAAAGGAAGAACAAATGAGAAAGACTAGGTTTATTTATTCCTACACAGAGAAAACAAGATGTTGATGAGTGTTTCGTTTTCCAATTGTTATAGAAATCATGAAATCGAAATCGTAGTCGACTACCGAAAGGATTTGTCGTCAACAACGTGAAAGTAAGATTCGGGTAGATCGTCAAGGATAAACAATGGAAAAAAAGTGTAAATTGTCGAAAGAATTATTGTGATAAAGAATGAACATGAGCATCACTATGTCTTCTTGTACCATGTTGTGGCCAATTCGAATCATGTGCTTGAATAACTCCTGCTGTATTCGGAGGTGATTTAATTTCTCCTTCAACTTGACCACCATTACTACTTTGACCATTATGTCCTTGTGTTTCTTGTACGTGATGTACACCTTGTACATTTTGAGAATGTCCAACTTGAACAGTATGTACCATTTCACGAGGATCATGAGGTGTCATTGGACCTTGAGCAGGAGAAGGTATGTAATAACCTGGTCCGGGTGGATATTGATATGAAGCAGCACGACGATTATGAGGATGATATGGTGAAGGAGGAGAACGTGCGTAAGGATGATATGAAACTGAACGTAGTTCTCCAGAAGTGAATGGTGTTCCGAGAGCTTGAGCGGTGGAACTTGAACCTCTACGTGGGAGAGCTGAAGAAGTGAGAGGAGAAGTGTAAGAGCCGGAAGTTGCAGATACTGGTGTCGCTTGAGAAGGAACTGTCGAATCTGTTTGTGAGCCAACTATCCCTTAGATCTTCACATTTCAAAGGGGGACAAGAGCGTAAGACGTGATTCGGTCCGGTCGACGTGGTATGAAGCGAGCTATCGCATTTTGAACAAATAACACATGATGTCATTTCTTATGGAACTCAAAGGTGTCCTCGACCGAAGGCAACGGAGACAACAGCAGATAAAGTGTGGGAAGGAAGGATGGCTTGAGAAGAAGACAAGTTGAAGGTAGTGTCAGTAAGGAGGGTAAGACATCCAACGCAAAAGAAGTCGAAAGGCAGTGACGAAGAAGAAAAAACTCACATGCTGATCCTGGCGACACTGGGTCCTCTCTTGTCATTTGCAAATGTGGCAAAGGGTTTCGGCGGAGCATCTCGACCTGGCCGTATCCTGTGGATTTTCGAAGCTTCTGATCATCGGTCTGTTGAGGACGTGATTTACGATGTGTTCGTTCAAAGATACCGCATTTGTTACATAACTAAACATCAGCGTCTGAATCGATCTGGAAATGATATTTACTTACAATCTTTCCTGGATACAAAACACTTTTACGCCAACTTGGAGGAGTGGTACTATGACAATTATGACACCGTCTTCTGACTTCGAGAGTTTGTTTGACTTCAGCGTCGCTGGTATACATGACATCTACCGCTTGTTCATCACTTCTCTGACTCATCGCCGGACTTGCCAGTGGTTTTTCACCGTATCGATCTTGCATTCCGACTCCCGTACTTGTAGAAGATGCACGACGATCGAGGCTGGGTCGGTCATCGCCGTCGCGTTCGCGGTCTGACCAACTGCTGAAAGCAGAAGGTTGTATCGTTCCGTGTTGATGAGCGTGATGTGGTACACCGAAGGCTGAGATCGGTGAATAACCTTGCGAATACCCGTCTCCCGCCTGCGGGGGTGGGTGATAATACATCTGTTGTCCCGGATGATACGGATAACCATATGGAGTCGGATAAGGGTATCCTGGATACCCATTGGTTGGCGTTCCACCGTTGTTGTTGCCACTCCGTGCGTCTGGTAGTCGAAGAGGAGGCAACATGTTTCCTGCACTTTGGCCACCTTGTGGGAGAGTTTGAACACCAGGACCGTGGGCTTGGGATGGATCACTACATCATCAGCGGACTGATCACCTTGCGATGCGACGTCTCATGTGAACATTGCGATGAGCCGATGAAACCGGTCATGTGCTCGATGGCGCTATCATACCGATCGACAATTGATCATTGAAATAAATGATGAAGATGAGACAACGCACGTAGGAGTGGAAGGCATCGAAGCGTTCTGATGCTTGGATACCCAAGCTTGGTGAGGTTCTTGGGAAGTTTCGTTAACTGTGCTTCGTCTGTCAATCAGCATCACCGCATCATTTGCCGTAACCACTTGATCAGATCGGCTTGCCTTTCATTACCGTGCGGGCGGGTCAAGGGAGGGTGGGAGGGGGGGTCAAGATCTGAAAAGATTAAATTTGTGAACAGTTCCACTCACTCTGAAGAAACACCTGCAGCAGTCACCGGTTCAGCGTTGGTGTTACTTCCGTAAGGGAAATTTCCGCTATGAAGCGGGGCCTTGGGAGACATCGAAAGCCAACTCCAGCTGTAGCCGTGGTTTTGACTGAAAGTGGATGATAGATTGCCGTACCAACCGTCTGGTTCGCTGGGTGGTGTGAGAAAAGGAGTGGGAAACGGACTGGCAGGTAAGAGGGCGTCGAAATCGAGTGGGGCGGGACAAAGCAGAGCTGGATCAATGAACGAAGACGTGGCAGAAGATGAAGATGTCGTGATGGAGGACAAGGGCGTGAGGGGCGAGCTGTGTGTGGATAAAGCAGTGGGCGATGGAGACTTGAGTGCGGCGGAGAGGTAAAAGTCGATCGTTTGGCTCATGCGCGCTTCGTGAACAATGTCCAAGAGGGTACAACTGTCATGGTCAGGAAAAGAATCGAAAGAGATGGATAAAGCAGGAAACAGAGTATATATCCTCAGTGGCAGTGGTCGTAAGACGTGACTGTCGGGGGAGGGTGGCGCCGAACCAAATAGGTTTGGGGAGAAGAGGATGGGGAATATGGGATATCCGCCGGAGATGAGATGAGAGAGGGTAGGCAAAGGAAGGCTGAAAATGATGAGGGAGATGATTGGATCACGCTCCAGGGGCACAGCAAAGGAAAAACTACTCTTGGACGGGACAAAAAAGAAAGCTAGACGGGCAAAGGAGACGACGCGACACGAGGCAGACGACAAGGAAGAGAGAAAAGAGAGTGTGAAAAACTTAGTACGACGACGAAAAAGCCGAGCAAGGGCGCGTGGGACGTGCGAGCGCTGACTGGATCATCTCTCACTTGAAAGGAGGGCGGATCCAGGACAGGTCGAACTAACCCGGATAGCTGTGCCCCAAAGAGGGAAGAGAGACGAGGGGGGTGATGATGAAGTCTGCCTCGGATCACAGCCGCGAGCGATGCTAACGCATGGATCGTCCAAAGGAGGGGCACCAACTAGCAACCGAGAGGGGAAGAATGAGAATACCTCACCCGGCACCAGTGATCGAAGAAACGATGATGATCGGGTCAGGCGGCAGGGGTGGTTTGATGGAGAGATAAACAAGTGAAATGAAAGTGGCGTGTTGGTAACGAAGTGAGAGAGAGAAACAGAGAGAGAGAGAGGAAAAGCAACAACGCAAAGAAAAGGTTTTGGGGCGTAGGAATAAGACTTGGATGGACCAAAGGGATATGGATCGGTAGACATGACGCCCATGGGCCCGTGGACGATGCCCCGTGGTCATCGAGTCGCGGCCGACAGCCCGGTCATAGAAAGCCAGGTTTCGTTCAAGCCATGAGGAAGGGGTAAGACACCCAAAGGGAGGGTAAAGAGGATAGAACAACCGAGCCCTGGGCATGACGACAGAGCCAAGAAAGTGAGGAGAGAAACGACGATGAGAACGAAATCGAAGACCGAGATACGAAGTGAAAGAAAACGGCGTACTCACCGTAAAACTAGGACTCGTCGGCAAGTTGACCAAATTGGCCAGATCTCAATCGGCAGAAAATCAAAGGACACGAGGTGGCGTGGTATTCGTATTCAGAGTCGTCCGTCGAAAGATTCGCTTTTGACAGAATGGAAGAGTATTCAGAAGACGAGTCGAGAGATCGTCAAATTATCAAAAGGCTGGTGAGAGAGCGATACTAACTTCTGTATGCCGATCAGCATCTTCCATCCGTTCTGACAAGTCGAACAAGGGGCATCAAGAATTACTCACCACTTGGATTCCCCAAAGTTGTCAAAAAGAGAGCCCCAGCTCAAACGTTCAACGTCGATCTCAACCCGTTGACCGGAACACCCCTTTGAATCTCTTGATAAAAAATCGTCAAAAGTCCTTCCTTGATGAGTGCACAGAAGTAATGATGACAGAAGACAAGGATTTGCGAATAAAGTGATGACAATGCCGCTTTATTTATCCACAAGTTGCGATCAATCACAGATTCGGATGGAAAATCAAACGAGGAGGACCGACTGATGATCTTTCTTACCAGACTTGGGTCAGTTATATGTCTACTGGAAGACCAAAGCGATTTCAAACATTTTGTTGCATCATTCAGACCTCTCACCCTTCGAATGTCCGATGAGAAAGTATCCCCTCTGCTCTGATGCCCAGAAACGTCAGCAGGTGATCAGTATTCGAGGGCACATGAGATGATTGGTGTTTGACAGATTTCGTGTAAAGTGACGAGCTGGTGAAGTCGACCTGAACTTCGGGTAAGAGGAAACCCGGACGCGTCGGATAACGCGTATTTTCAGGGGTTTAGACATTTTGACATTGGATAATCAAAACCTCTTTGCGAAGTCTAAAAGTAGGAACGAGGAAACGAGAGAAAGGGGAAGGGGTGGATGGTCAGTGCACGCGGGCGAAACACCCGATCAGATCATCAAAAAGAAAAGATCCCAGCCCTCGTCTTCACCAGTCTTCCTTTACTTCATGTTCCGCTCCGTTCCCAACATCCCTCTTTTCGTCTTAGTGCCCTCCGGCGAATAGGCGACTGACCTTCATCATCGACTTGACAACGAGTTTGTGCTTTTGTTATCTCTTTATGGTTAGCCAAAGCATGGAAAAAGCAAAGAAACACTTACCTGCTGTATGAGGATGGGACGAGACACGTGGACCTGATCTGGTCGAACAAAATTTATAGGGAGACTATTGAAAGTTAAATTGTCATGATTGGCGTTGAAGGTACGATCAGCTCGCTTGGAATGATGGAGATTGACGGCGTGACGTAGCTACGAGACTCCCCAACAAATGGCGGAACATTTGACAACTTGTCCCAATCCTTATCTCACACTGCGCAGCAGGCAGTCTTGCAGAAGGAGACATTTGGGGTGGGATGGCTTCTCTTTTGGGACTGCATTACCGAAGATTGAATGTTTTTTCGTACGTAGTGGGGATTGAGTGATTGGAGGTTGAAAGTCCGGACCGCAAGGCACAAGGTTATCACCCGGACGCATCGGAGTTAAGCCTTGGGTGTGTTAGCCTTTGCCACACAACGTGACACAACAAAATCTCCGAGACTCCGGATCTCTCACCACTCGCATCCCATCGTTAGTCGAGTAGAGGCCACCACCAGTTGACATCGTGAGCTCCTTGCATACAGAGAGTACCACAGCTAACCACTTTCTCTCTCCCCCCTCTACTTCCTGACTCTCTCTATCCTGTTCATTTCGTCTTGTCCCGACGGATCTGACTTCGAATCGATTGAACAACTGTCAATTTCATCATCCGCACCAAACAGCAAAATGAAGGACATCTCATCTATCGAGTCCCTCAACCTGCCTGAGGATGTGACCTTCACTATCAAAGCCCGGACGATCACCGTTGAGGGTCCTAGGGGAAAATTGACCAAGAAGGTCAGCCACATCGCCATGGACATTCAACTTGTAAGTGATTGTTGCCTATCTATTCACTTCCCTCTACGCCTCACTTCCTCATTCTCACCCCTCGAGCATTGCGCTGCTAGTGTCACTCCCGATGAAATGTCTACCAAGCATGTCCAAACTTGTCGGAAAGATGGTAGGACGTTCTCAAATTCGTACGGTTCATTCCTTGCTTGTGTGGTAAAGGATGGTCTGGTATGGACAAATCAGAGAGATTGTTGGAGCTGCGTCAAGGACATTGGAGAGAATGGGTACTTCCTATCATGATTCGAGTGAGGAGTGAGAAGGATATTTAGAATAAACGACTGATTTCTAGGTCAAATCACCCAAAGGCTCCAAAATCATCTTCACTATCTGGCACGGTTCCCGTAAACACGTCGCATGTCTTCGAACCATCAAATCCCTCGTTGAGAACATGATCATCGGTGTCACCAAGGGATTCCTCTACAAGATGCGTCTTGTTTATGCCCATTTCCCTATCAACGCTATCCCCGGAGATGATGGGACAACATTGCAGATTCGTAATTTCCGTGAGTCTCATTCATATGCTTCTCTTCTCCCTGACCCCTTCCTGGCCGTCCGTTCTTCGTATGTAGTATTTCGTGTTGTCTGTGTCACATTCCGATTCCAGTCCGAGAATTATGGTACGATGAGGTCATCTCAAGGGCGTGATGTTGGGGTTCTGTCTTGCTGGAAAGAATCATGTTGTCAATCAAAGGGGAAGAGCGCTGATAGAGTAGTCGGTGAGAAATACGTTCGTGACTGCAAAATGATTGAAGGCGTCAAAGTCTCAATGTCCGATGTCAAAGACGAAGTGATCATTCAGGGTAACGACATTGAAAGCGTATCTCAATCAGCCGCCTCTATCACTGACAAATGCCGTGTTAAAGACAAAGATATCCGAAAGTTCTTGGTGAGTTAGATGTCATCACACTCTTCTTCATCCCTATGAAATTGATCCGAGTATCGAACTATACGCCTGTTATTCTCTTATACCAAGTCCCTATAATCCCGATCTCGAAGAATTCGCGGCAGTCATGAGCAAGGATGGCGGCTGATGAGCAGGACGGTATTTATATCTCGGAACGAACCACGGTGGTACAGGAGTCGTAGATGATGTTGATAGGCATGAGATATGTACCATTGCATTCCCTCTGATCATTGTGAGATACGACAGTAAACATGTCTCCGAGTCCACTCCGCATTGAAAGCTCTCAGGTGGTGTCCAAACGATGCGAAACCAGTTCTGAGTCACCGATGTTTGTATTCAACTCGATGCCTGGCAGAAGTTGAGCAAGTTCATGATTGAGGCATTCGGAGAGGGTTACGCTTCTATCCTCTTGGCGAGAGACACGATCCATGAGAAAGAATGGAATTGCGATGCTAGACTTAAACACAAAAGTCCATTCCCAAGGAGAATAAGAGGTAACTTAGTCAGGAAGTATAGTATCCAGGTGACGAGAGGGACACCATCTCTTAGACAATTGATGTTAGTAATGACAGTGAGGTTACGAGCAAGCGTCGTCTTAGGAGGACACAATGACACTCGAGAGAGTGATGAGTAGGGTGAAGTCGTTTCCAGAGAACAGATTGAAATTCTTCCCCTAATGAACGATCCGATTGTTGACACATAAGAACATACCGCTGACCAATTCTTCCAAATTTGCTACTCAAAACGATCTCATGATCATCGAAAATATGTGAAAGTTCAACATCAAGTGAATTTCATCTTTTGAACACGATACAATACATTTTGTCTTCATTATACTATACACACAACTTCATTGTCCTTATTTATATTTTCAACATACTACTTCTCTTCTTTGACGGATTTCCAAATATTCCATTTTAAACTTTTACCGCAGTAATCTGTATAGATACATCTCTCATTATGCTCCACCGCCAGCTCAGTCAAAGTTGTGTTGATACGACTGTGTTCATCGTTCACATACCGGCACACACAACCGATTGTCCATGACCGATCGGTGAAGATACATCGGCTTTCGTCGTTACCCTTGATTTGACACGGAATGTTCCTACGTTCGAATCATCACTTCACTGACTGAGGTGTTCTACATGTTCACGTCATTGGTCAGTGCGTGAGAGTAACGCCACAGGGATGTGTCGCTATGTTTTTATTCGCGTTGATGACCACATACACTTCTCTTCCCCGACTGTGATTGTGCAACCTTGCATTCGACGTGAGTCGTTAGGTCGGAGGGTCGGGGACCATGATGGATGAATGCGAGAAGGACATGGTCCGACACGGGTAACGAGGTGTGTCAGAGAGACGAGTTTGAGAGAGTAGGTTTCAAGGTTATGTCAGAGAGAGGTCTACGTATGTGTATTACGCGAGAGAGGAGTTTTTGTTATATCATAGAAGGCAGTTCGAACGGTCGGAATACAATCAAACGCCTCATAGAGCTCCAGGAGCAGAAGGCATTTGAAGGAATGCTTGACTGGCTTGAGCGTTGGCATATAAACTTGATCGACGTTCAGACCTTGCTGAAAGAGATTCGGCCGTGATAGATCTGTTCGTAAGTGGTTGTCTTGGGTTTCATCATACACCTTGGGATGTAGCACTGCATTACATGTCTGGTGAATGTAGACTGGTACAAGTGACTCAGCAAGCTGGCCAACACGTGACATCCGGGTAGGATGAAAAGTATGTGAGGTCCAGGCGTTTCTCTGAGTAACGGAGTGCGGATCGCCGGGGGTAAGAAAGTAGACAAATGACAATATTAAGAAGTTCGCGCGTAAAGGTATCAAACGGAAAAGCAGTGTAAAGGCATGATCTTCAGGGGAAATGTGATTGTAAAGGTAGAAGAACTGGAGGAAAGGAAGAGGAGGAAGGACTGACCGAGGAATAGGAGCTAGATTATCTTGCCATGGCTCAAGACATGATAATGGGACAACTCCCCTATTACCGTTTTGGTCCTCGCAGAGGGACCAACCGTCGTCATATGCCGTATGGAGGTAGAGTTGTTGGCCGGGGGTTATTGCTATTGGTCAGTCAGATGCCTTTTCTACCGTCCTACCTACTGAAAAGGGCAAAGTACCAAAGATGTAAAGATGGCATAGAGGAGAAGGAAAACAGATAAACTTGCCCAATTCATCCTCCAAGGAACGCACGAATCCGACCATCACTCTAGCCATCATACCGTCGTGCAAGCCTGCGGCCACGGCCTCACCTTGGCCTGCCACACCACCAGCGACTTCGGTGGCCCCTACGGCTCCAGCGATTCCTGCAGCAGCGACAGCACCTTCACCCCCGGGTGCAAGTGAGGGATCAACGTGTTCATATGGCGCCGCTCCTGCAGGTGCATACGTCTGAGCTCCGGTTGCTGGATCATAAACGTATGGTTGTTGAGGGTATGGCTGTCCGTATTGATCGTACTGAGGGTATGAATACGCCGGGTCGACATAGGGCTGCTGAGGATAGGTATAGTCTTGAGTTGTTTGCATGGGGTACGATTGAGTTGGGGCGTCGTACTGCCTATCAGAACAGCTCATCCACTTTATGTATTCGCCTTCCAGCGGACATGAAGAGATGCTTGCGGTCACGATGAAATTGGCCCGAAACGTGGATGATCCGCTGTGCAAGAGGAGAACGAGGTTTAAGGAACTCACGGTGGCTTTCTCAAAATCGGGCTCCTCTTCCAAAGCCACAGGTGCTGGGGCAGGCCAAGGTTCAAACAAGCTTGTACGGTTTGCCGTTCTCTTGCTTCTAGCTTTTTTCCGAAGACTACGCGTAAGGAGCATAGCGACAACGCAGACCACTGCAATGGCTCCGATGATTATGCCGACGAGCTGGACGTCAGTGATCGTTTTGTCATCCGTCTGCACATGCAAGACATAGACATTGTGTCAAATAGGGGCAAAAGGCGACAGGAAAGGGTGGAGGGAATGATAGAAGAGAGTCATTCGACATACCGCTCCAGTAGACAATCCCGACCCTCCTGTACCTCCTTTACTTGTCGAACCCGCTGCAGCACTATGTGAACTCACGGCGCTGGTACTCGTCCGTGAAACCGCGCTGACGCCAGAGACTAAACCAGGGACCGATCCTGTTGTGGCCGCTGAAGTCTGTTGCTGGGCGGACGTTGGGGCTACTGCATTTGTACTCGTGGGCGAAGCAGTGGGGGTAGCGCTGGTACTCGGGGTTGGGGCTGTACTCGCTGACGAAGACGTCTCGGTCGGGGACGCGGTCGAAGAAGTTGAGGTAGGTGCAGAGGAAGTAGTGCTCGTGCTCGTAGGTGTAGGACTTGAAGAGGTTTCCTGTGAGGGGGAGGATGTGGGAGGTGGGGTGGCTACTTATCAGTATCGGTACATGTAAACCATGGCATCTAGTTTTACATGTCGTTGTGACTGGAAAGGACGCGTCTGAGTGTGGAAGAAAGGGGTAAAAAGGACCCACTAGAAGTAGAGGTAGATGTCGGTGTAGAAGTTGGAGCAACGGAAGAAGGACTCTCAGTCGTCGTACTAGACTGAGTGGAAGTCGGGTCTGCCATATTGGAACTCGGATCTGGAGGACTTAATGTTGGCGTCGGTGTAGGTGTTGGATCTGGATTTGGATCTTTTGGGTCTGAAGGATCAGTTGGTGAACCCCCTCCACCAAAAAGGTCCGAGAGCAGATCCCTCTGTGGATGCAAACGATGAACGTGAGGCATGTTGCAAGAATGGCGAATAGTAGGAATAAGCAATGAGTGTTGTGAAAAGAGCGTGTATGTGTTTGAGGATGGATGAAAGTTGTGTAAGAGAAAGAGAAGGGGGAAGAACGGCTGATGAGATGGAAAGGAGAGAAAGGGAGAAGATGAAACGTTTAAACACATACCGTCTCACAATCCCAAAGGAGGTCAAAAACTCTTGGACGCGAGTGATATATTCAAGGAGGGGGGGGGGGGGGGTCAAAGGGGATGGGGTCCATAGTATAGTCGATAGATAGCTGAACCCTGATGGGGATCGTCAAGTGAGAGCTTTGTAAGATGTAAAGGACCGGAGTACGGAGTGGGAGAGTCTTGATTTACACGAGTGAGAAGCAGTGTCCCATATCCCGGATGGGGGGGGAAGAAACAGCTAGACAGCTGGGTGGCAAGGAAAAAACGGGACGGTCCGTGCAATGATGTTTCAAAGATACTCGAACAGATGGGGTATAAAGGACAGCCCCGATACCCAATTGGGCAAGTGATAAACGAATGAATGACCGTGAGCGGTGTTGGGTATATACACAACCGAAATGACAAAAATGACCAGATGACCAGATGGGGAAAGATGAAAGAAGATGTTTGGGTCATTGGAATCCATCCGTATGCGGCGTCAACAGGGAGGGAGGGGGAGGGGGAGGGGCATGGGGCAAGGGGGAAAGAACAAAACACCCGATGACCGATGGGTTAGGCACTGCGAGGTACAACCCATGGTACATGGTACATGGTACATACACCCTCTTCACTTGCATCGACTATCTTTCTGGATGCAAACAGTGACTCCTTATTGCTGCATGCTGCAAACTGCCATGCTGCTGAGCAACTTCATGAGTCATGAACACATGTCCAGAGTACGCTGAGGATGCTGTAGGCCAAGTCACAACTGACCAGACGAGTTCGTGCTTTACGCGACGGCCCGACGCGTCCGACCTTTACTGCGACCCACCACGTGGCTTCCATGCGAGCTTCACGTGCACACCGCCACAACCCCCTTTGCACCTGCTCGCTGCTCGCTTCTTTGTCGTCCCTCCTCAACTGACATGACCTGATCTTGACTACCTGGTACTAACTGAATACTATGGCAATGTCCCTGTCTTGAACCCTCGGGTACTTCTTTGCCATCCCAGAATAGGGCCGTCTCGTCTCAATACCTCATAATTCCACTTGGAGCGGGGACAGAAGAACCTCTCCTCGACATGTTCAAAAACCTTCCTGCATTCCGTTCCCTCCCTTCTGCCATCGGACTCCCTTTCTTGTCTTCCTCAGAAGATGCTCAACTCAAATTCCGATCAGGAGATAACGGTATCAAGCGTTTATACTCTGATGAAGTCCGTCTCTCATCTGTACCTCTTCGGTCAAGCTGACAGCATAGGTGATTTCAGTGAATGACGTCGAATATTGGTCTCAGTTTTATCGACTTTTCAACTCTGTGGCAGATGTGTATTCTCTCATATCTATACAAGATGGTCTGTTCTCTTTCATTACTCCTACCTTTCAACAGGTTTGCATCATACTATCATGATGTAACCGAGTCTGCACCCTATCATCAAGGACAAGTTGGAGCACAGGAAGGTGAGGGGGATTGACGTTGCGATCGGAAATGAGATGTCGGGTATCTGGTCCATACTAACTTATAGTCCGTCAAACTCTCGCAAATCAGCCTACAAATCTCTCCAATCTCATCTTATTTCTCTCACACCATCTTTTCACTCTCCTTCCTTCACCAATGTTCCCATCGTCCGGAGGGGGTGATACCAACAGACAAGCCCTCAACTGTCTCCGAGTTCTAGGGCGGATATTAGTGGTGATATATGAATCCGAAGCGGACTTCCGGCAATCCATCTTGAACTCTAGCTCAAGTTCAGAAACCTTTGCTCAAAAATACCTATGGAATCGACCTATTGTCAAGGATGAACGTGACTTTACCGACCCCTCAGGAATACAAGAAGATGAAGGGTCAGGGAATGGTAGAGAAGAGAGATTGGAAGATGATCAATTCCAAATTGGGGATCTTGATGAAGATGAACTTGACGAAGGAGTGAGAGCTTTCAAGGCTACTGTCAAAAGCCCTGATCCTCCTTCAACGAATGGAAAGATCGAAGATCCTCTCTCTCATCCGACTCACGATACAGAAGAGAAGGAAGAGGAAAAGGAAATCACGATGCCGTGCTTGGTGGATCAGTTGTTCACTTGTACGGTTGATTTGTTATTCTGCGCAGGTTTTACGGTCCCGGAAAGTGTGAAGGGGGATTCTGGACATGGGGATAAGATTAACGTGAGTTTTTGTTTCTTCCGTCTTCGTCCGTCCACTTTCCTCCCTACCTGTATCGTTATGTCTCATCCTTTTCTGCGATCATTTGTCGTCTGCTCCCTCTACCTTCCTTACTGCCTCCCTCTGCTCTTACCATGTCATCAAGTTCCAACCACCTCCATCCCCCCTTCTCCCCCAACCTCTGAAAAGTATCACTTCAGACTTGATCCGAGTGTTTCCATCATACTGATGAGCGTCTCTCATAACTATGCATTGACAGGCAGTATGTCATTTGGGAAAGAGGAATAGGATCAACCACTTCCCTCGGTAATCATCCCGAATTAGATAAAAACAAAACCGAAGTCTTACGATTCCTCCTTATTCTTTTATCCTCAACCATCTACACTCCCCCTAATTCTCTGTCCACATCTACCAACCTCCCTCTTGAAGATCTCACCCATACACTCGAAAGACGACTCGTACTCTCCCTGCTATGTTCTTGGTTAAACGTATCACTCACTCCGACAAAGGCGATAGGAGGTATGACTGGTCAAATGCCTTACAGTCATCTAATTTCTAAAGCAGCGGAAGAGAAAAGAGTTTTAGTGAAAAGTTGTATGATGACTTTGTTGGTAGCTTTGGATTATGAGCGGCCGGAATTGTCATCAATGAATGAAGGTAAGGATGAGAATGCTTTTAGATATTTCGTTTCAAAATTGGTACGTGTTGTCTTCTCGTCTCTCAATCCTTCTGTGTTCACCTTTCTCATCCTTTTCATTATACTTGTCTCACTGTCGTCTCAGACTCTCGCGCTGGCATCATCTCTTTTTCACTCCTCAAGAGTCCTTCTCCACTCCACACTCCGTCTCTTCTTCCCGTTCTTCCTTCAATCGACATAAATCTGATAACCTGTTATCTGTATTGACGGAATCGGAGATGAAATTGTGGGGCTATGGCCTTGATGGTAGGGTGGCAGGAGGCCTGCTAATTCAACAGCATCGGAAAGAAGATTTCTCGTTCATCCTCGGAGGTATCTTGACAATCTTGGAGGAACATGCGGCGGTGACGAATATGTATTTACCAGGAAGCAAAAAACCTGTTCCTTACATCCTTGAGACGTGTAAGTTTATGTCTCCTCGCTTTTCATACCATCAAGCGAAGTGAGATGAAATCGCCGGAAATGCTCCTCCATGAGCCCCTTTCTCCCTGCCAAATGGATCTGTGTCACACCAGAACTATTTAGACTCATCCTTCTCCGCCATTGGACTAGGTCTCTATGAGACCTCCCATTCTCCTCACCAGGAGTGCGGCCGGATTGAAGCTGATCTCAGATATGCTACTATGGCGAATGATCGACCTTAACAAAGTTAGCTACTTGACTGTCAAATTCGACCCCAGCTGACGTATAGCGATTCCGCGTCCACCTATTCGACAGTGGTAAAGCACTCGATGTAGTGGTACATATTTTACTCACGTGCTTGGACCTGAAAGACGACCCGTGTAAGCTTTCGTGCCATTGCTTGTCTCAAGCTGACATCGTAGCTCAGCATGGGTTATTGAGACTATTGTCGTACCTGCTTCAGACCTTATCGGCCGATCGAGCGTTCGCTACGGCTTTAAATCAGACGATCAGGATGAACGTCCCCGCCAAATGGGCCGTTCAAGGGACAGCAGCTGATTTCATGATTGTTGTGGGTAAAACTTGCTTCTCTCCCGTTTCATCGCCATGTTGAAGCTCGGCTGACACTCAGTCCATTTATTCAATAGCCACCACACCCGGTCTCAACCCTCTTTTCCCCGCATTGACAATAAGCATCTCCAACGTTGCACCATTCTTGACTCGGATCGGCGTACAAGCTTCTACAAGGTTGATGCAGTTGTTCAAAGCGTTTTCAGCACCAAACTTTTTGTTGGCGGATGAAGGTCATCCAAGATTGGTTTATTATTTGTAAGTCTTTATTGTAAGTGGCGGGGAAGGTGTGTTGATGAGGTAGATTGGAGACGTTCAATTCGGTCTTGTATTATCAGTTGAAGGGTGAGACCACCACGTTTGTCGCCCTAGTGATTCACATCTGCTTCACTCTTCACTATAGTCAATGTTGATACTCTCTTATTCCTACCCACAGGGATATTGAGAATGACTTAGCACTCAAGAATCATTGCGTTATATCTGAGTACGAGCGGCGCGGTTCGTTAATCATCAGAAAACCCAAATCTCATCTACGCGATCCTTCGCTCGCACCAAGATTTTCAAACACTTGCTACGTTCACTCTAGTTTCTGGTCTGAGAGATATACAACGTCGCAAAGCCCTCCGAGCATCAGGTGAGTCGCAGAATATTCCAATGTCTATCCTGATCGTCCTGTCTCAAGCTGACCTTTAGCCGAGACTAAACCTCCCGGAATTCATCGAACCAACTCCGAACTGGAGATGTTAGCTGAAAAAGCCGCTTTACTCGGAAGAGAAGTAGAAGATGAAAATGATGTTCCTACCGAAACAAGTTCAAATTTCCGACGAAACCGATTAGATTCAATATCAGAAAGCGTTAAAGTGGTTTTGGAAGAAACGGAGAAAAAGACTATAGTGCCTCTCACTTCTCCCGATGGAGTATTGGAAGATCCTCTTTTGCAAAGAGTCGCCACTATTCACCCCGACTCTAGCGTCACTTCGAGAGTAGATACGACTGAATCAACAAGACGAGAATCAGAGATATCGAACGCAGCACCGAGATCAAGGAGAGAATCAGAGATATCAATTTCCATCCCGGAATCTAGAAGAGAATCAGAGGTTCTGAATTCAGGACCAGAATCTAGAAGAGAATCAGTTTCTAGTAGAAGAATTATAATCTCCACGACTGAACCTGAAGAGGTTTCTAATATCGGAGGAATGTCAGAAAAGGCTAGAGGGAAGATGCGTGCTGTGGAATCGGATAAAGGTGAAGAAGAATTGGCAGATGAAGAATTGTTAAAGGTCGCTATGGCTGGCGTAGGACCAAATGGTTATGTACCGACTCAGGAATGGGTCGCGAGTTGGCAAAAGGGGTATGTGCGAATTTCACTCTTCGTTTTGGTCCTTTCTGCATGGTGTGCGGCTTTCTTTCTTGGTGTAGTCTATACTCACCATTGTTCGTAACCCTGCTCTCTCTCTCCCCCTCCCTCTCTCCCTCTCTCTTTCTCTCTTTCTCTCTCTCTCTCTCTCTCTCTCTCTGATACAGGGGAGTGGATCTCGCCGTCAGCCAGAGCTTCAAACTGGTTGGTGTTCTGAGTAGCTGATTGAATGTCTGATCGGTCGGCTGGCTGGCTGGCTGGCTTAATGAGTGGGTGAAGTTCGGTTGGACTGTCGGAAGATTGGAAGATTACAACAAACAGCTAAAGCTGACATGTAGCCTCCCACTTGACCCCGTTTTGGTGGCCATTTCCGAATTATTACCAAAGATCCAAGATTCAACTCCGAAAGCAGGAGCTCCGAGTCAAAAACTACTCGATACGTTGAAGAACGCTACTTTGATCGATGTCTTACCTCCTGCTCCTCCCATCGTACCACGGAAATTCCAAGTGAGTTTGGTTTCTTGTGATCGCACCTTTCCTCACTACATCCAATATCAAATACCCTGTCATGTTTCCTCTGGAGTTTCCTATGTCAGAACTCTGAAATTTCTCCATTGCATTTTTGTCCTTCGCATAGATACGAAATGAGTACATCAAGTCATACTTGATGGATATCTCACGAAAGAGTTTCTCTACACGTCAGGAATGCTCGAGTTGGATAAGTGCGGAGAACTCATGATCAATGACGATTATGTACCACGGAACAATGTTGACATACAGTGGTCCCCGGCATCTTGTATATGGCTCACATCTCTACTTTGGGGAGATATCTACGTCGCTGGTCTCTCTCCCGTGGGTGTATGGCGCGATACCACCGTCAGACTCTTCGGTGTCAAACAAGCTCCTGTGAGAGGTAGAGGTGCGCAAATGGGAAGGGTTTTGAAGATGATAGGAGTGGTTTGAGATATCAAGATTTGGGGGATTTACATCATATATGCATCAGTTGCATCACTGGTTATTTTATGCTACGACGAATGACCCGACTACTTTACATTGGTCGTTGCTACTAGAGTATGTAGCTACAATGAGGACTCTATATGAACAAGTAAGGCGGGCCGGCAGAAAGTGGGACAGTGGGAAAGTGGGGGAGTGGGGGGAGCATGTATTCACCGAGTCCACAGTTCATAATCAAACCTTTTGTTCATACTTCATTTAATATCGTCAAACATCAATCTTTGACGCACGACATAAATCAGAGATCACATGCTTCTCACTAAGACAGACATATGTAAGTCGATCACCGAGGTGGGACAAACTGTAGCTAGAGAAAATGATGGACAAGTCGTAGGAGAAGCAACAGAGGAAGAGCAAATGGGAGACGAGGAAGAAGAAGAAGAAGAGGAACAGGGGGATGAAGAAGAGGAAGAAGAAGAAGAACTACCATCATGTCCAAGTGGTTTATTTCAATTTCCATTTGGAAGTTCAAAAGTAAAAGATGTGGATGAAGAAGTGAGGAGTTTTTTATTCTTTCACTCTCCTACAAATATCTTGATGTATCGTATAAGTACTGATGATAGGTATTGGAAATATATATGAACCTTTCTCTTTCCTCCTCAACCGACACAGATACTATATCTCCTTCGTATCCTCCTCAAGCTGGTCAACCCCCTCAAACCTCTAAAGCCCCTCAAACCCCTCAAGCCTTTCAAGCTAGTCAACTTACTCAAGCCCCTCAAGCAAGTCAAGCCCCTCAAGCAAGTCAAGCCCCTCAAGCAAGTCAAGCCCCTCAAGCAAGTCAAGCGGGTCAATTCACTAGAAATCTAAAAACAAGAAATCATCCAGATTCAAATTTAGGTTATTTAGATTCTACCAATTCCATCCTCTCACTAAACTTCCTTATCTCCTCTGATACCTTTCCTTCGAACTCGTCTATCCCTTCTTCTTCTTCTTCCCGTGTAACGAGTGAATCATCAGGGTTTTACGGAAATACGAAATCTAGGGTTGGTCTTGATACAAGTAAGAGAAAGTCGGTAGAGAAGGATATTGAATTCGAAGTGAGATTACAACAAGATTTAACTGCTTTGAGAAGTCGGAAAGGAGATACTGGTGAGTTTTTATCTCTGCCTCGTCAATCCACTTCTTCCCCTAATCTCTTTAGTTGCCCCCTCTTTTCGTGTTTGGTTGATTCTCTTGATATGTTGGATTCACTCTTTTGACATGTTTAATAGACTCTCGTGACATGTTTGATTCACTCTCTTGACATGTCTGCGTCATCTATCTAGACAGTGCGTAGGACCTGGATCGGACACTCGCTTCTGGGTTCACAAAATGCTCATGAGATCGTTAAGAGGTGTTCGAGTGATGAGCTGATATTGAAGGTAGTGTACTTTGGAGAAGTAGGTGAATCCCAAATATTTCCATAACCTCCTACAACATTTATCATTTTCTTCTCTGATTATTCCTTCAAAACATCCACCACAGCCATTATATCACCAAGTTCCACTCACCCTTCTTCCGAAAATATAAAACATCTAATTCCCAGTTTTTACCTCTCCAAATATCTTTTAAACCAACTTCTTCACTCCCCTTCTTCTCCATTCATCGACCCTGTCATCCTCTCTCAATGTTCAGTATTGGAATTAGGTTCCGGTACTGGTTTATTATCTATCTTATTTTCCCCATTTTGTCATTATTATACAACTTCGGATCAATATGATAATATACGATTGATTCAACGTAATTTAGAATTAAATTCTCATATTCCACGTAAGTCTTCACCTCTTCACCATCTCAACCTTCATTCATCTTTTATTCATATCACTTGCTCTGTCCGATCCAACTACCAGTATATGAATTTCACTTATCACTGAAAGATTTACTACAACGAAGATCATCAAGACCTTCAGAAGAAACATCACATAGAACAACCGACAATATATCCCAAAGAGGTCGTCTCAAAACTAAAGGGAATAGAAATATCTCAAAGGGAAAAAAATCATTAGAATATAAAGATGAAGAGATAAACCGGGGGAAAGGGAACGGCGAAGGAAATGTTAAAGTGGAAGAAATTGATTGGTTTCAAAGTTCGACTGAATATCAAAAAGGAAAACGAAGTGGGGATGAAGAGAGATACGATTTGATTTTACTTGTGGATTGTATTTATAACGAAAATCTGATAAAACCTTTGATTGATACTTTGAGGTATTATACGAAAAAAGGGAAAACAAAAGTTTGGGTGATTGTTGAATTGAGAAGTTCAGAAGTTGTTAGTATTTCAAAATGGTCTGACGAAGTTCACTTCACACTCCTTTTGATATTCGCTCCTCTTACCAATCAATTTTTTGTGGTCAGAGTACTGAGTGACGTTCCCAAGTATGATGATGATGATTTTAAAAGTTTTGTTTTCGTTGATGTTTAGATTTCTACGTTTTTAGAAAATTGGTCATCTTCTGATGATTGGATGATCATACGTTTACCATTTGAATGTTTTGGATCTTGGGATGATAAACGACCTAGATGGGTGAGTTGGATAGGATGGTTAGTATGAGGGAAAAAAAAGTGATACAGTTGTTGTACACTGTATATTTACGCAAATCATGCATGTATCACACGATGTAATGAACATACCTTCTCCAACTTGATCAATTGTCCATCCCCACTTCATCCATCCATAACTTTCGTTTTTCTCTCCCACTATTATTCTCATTGGAGTGCTCCTCCCTCTCCCTCTCACACACACTCGACCTCACCCTTCATCCATCTTAAGAGTTTTTGAGGGATATATTTCGTTACTCAATGATCAATCTCTAAGCCTCCAACCCTTTCAAAACCCCAGCACTACGTTTAGTATCTAAAAACAATTCACCTAATTCACCTACATCCTCCAACCCAACTTCTGTCCTACCCATCGTCTTTGCTAATATACTGGCAGGTGTGAGTAATTGTAAAGCGTATCTTAAACTACTTTTCTCTCCTTCATCCGCCAATTTATCTAAAGCTTCAGGTTTGACTGATAAATTTTCCACACGAATCCGAATCTCCAAAACACGTCGGATCTCTTCACGATTGTATGAGACCGTTTTGACGATCATACATCTATCTAAAAGATCGACTGGGATTCCATGTGGAGATATTATATCTTCTGTCCCTCGTATAGTTGTGAGACCTCTGTTGGAAGCGAGGACTACGTAAGGTGATAATGGTGATTCTAATGCTCGGTTGAGATAGGTGAAACATTCCATATCTAGCATGTGGACCTGATATTAGATTTGAAGCTACTCTGAATCTGATGAGAATTTTGAGGATATATTTAGAATGGAAAGTGAAGCTAGAATGGATTGGGATTTACAAGGAGCGAGTTTGAAGGTTTATGGAGATAGTCTCAACGGACGATGGGTATCGGCAAGATAGATAGATAGTTTGAGTGGGATGTTGTGAATGATATCATAGAGGGAATGTTTCATTCGGTATCACGTCAAGTAGGTGATGTTGAGTAAAAACTTCCACATTCTACGTCATGTAAGGAAGAAAAAGGAAGACTGAGTGAGAACGAGTGAAGGGATCAAAGACGAGGAGGGGGGGAGAAAAGAGAAGAAAATGGAAAAGATCAGACCAAAACTCACCTCATCAATAAACAAAACACCAGGTATCAATTCCGCAACTCCTTGTTCAATATACCTATCCACAACTTTATTAATCTCCCTTCTCAACTTATCCGTAATTTCAGTTCTACCACCTTTTATCAATTGTCCCATCACACTCATTATATCTTGTCCACCTTGAGGTCTAGCGTTCGCCATATCCAAATCATGTAAAGTAACATCTTGTACTAATTCTTTACGTTTATGTACATCTCCTTTTGGTAATGGAACATATTCTTCCGCTTCAAGATCATATTCACTCGCATAAGCGTCCGAACGTCCAACACGTTTAACAGCTCCTGTATTGGCTTCGATATAAATGACATCACCAATTACCACACGTTCTTTTTGAATCGCTTCGTAAACTGATGGATCAAGTCGAAGTTGTTTTGTTCCCTTAACGGTTTTAAGTCCGACGATTACATGGGAAATGGTTTTACCATAACCTGATAAAGGATTTTCAGCTTCGGAAGGTGTGAGTTCGGTGACTTCTCCTTCGTATACTTCTTTTGTTTCTTTGATTCGAAGACCTGTGAGTTAGATTGATTTTTGATGAACATGACGCTATGCCATGGCTACAGCAGAGTTCTCAAGCATTCTCCTCTTTTATACGTCTTCCTGAACTTTACTCATATCGGTGATTCAAGTTCAAATCAAGAACATATTGCAGAATATGAGGTGAAGAGGTAAAAAGAGAGTAGAAGTTGACCCACCAATAGCTCTCCTGAAACAACTAGCCAAAACTTCGGTCTTTTTAACCTCTCCAGAATAAACCTCACTCCCTACCATGGCACAAAAAGGTACTTTAGTCCCCAGCTCTTGCGACAAAGCCAAAGCCAAAGCCGTCTTTCCCGTACCAGGAGGACCGACCAATAACAACGATCTACCCGAATATTTCCCAGTTTTCAATAAAGCCAAATGTAATCCTAAAGCTTCTCGAGCGACGCGTTGACCGACGAAACCTTGAGAAGATTCCATTGCTGTCCCATCGTCGGCCAGACCTAAACCCTTGATATGGGAATGAGTCGCTATACGACTTTCACGGAGAGTGGAAGGTGGTGGAGGTTGAGTTATGATTGTACTTGGACCTGGTGCTGACATGGTGCGAGTGGGTCGTATGGGTGAATGGTTCTGAGAAAGGAAGTCAAGTTCGTATGGAAACTATGGAAACTTGTCGAAGGAATATTCACATTGGTTTTCTTTCGATTTTCTCCCAGAATGGGGTTAGGTGGAGAGCACACTGCGAAAACTAAGTCCTTCTTCGCTGACACCCACCTGCAACGTCCAGCATGCAGCATACGACACAAGTCATGTAGTAACCTGTAACATGGGCAGATACGCTCCAAGACACGAGGTGAGTCTCTGAAGGGTATGTATGTAACAGGTGAGGAAGAGAGACGACATCCTTGCTGATGCGTGATGGTCGGGGTTCATGTTCACAGCGTCACCTCCTCGTGTCTCGCTCGTAGAAGTAGTACTGGGTGTACTTACTTATATCTCATTGTCACTGACCTCGTCTTCTCTCTTTACGCTCATCTCCTTAGTCTGAGTTTTAGTACTTCTCATCCTGATCACTTGGCGTCTAATCATCAGCCGCCATGTCAGTCCGCTCACCCCCACTTTTTGCAGGTCAAATGGAAGGGATGTCATCTCGACACACCTCGCCACTTCCAGATCGAAGATGGCTCATACCTATTGAAGATGTGGAAGATGCAACGAGGTGATTTACTCTTCATATTCAAAACCTGTATCACTGACGTCAGACGGATCACCGCCCTGGACCAGCTTTGGCAAGGTTATCAACCACCTACACTCCCCAAGCTCCCTTCCAAAGCTCCCTCATCCCTTCGAATCACACTACAAAATGCAAGGCAACATAGACTATGTGGTCGTACCCACCACGCCGCAGTGACATTCTACCACGCAATCGCTCTGACCAACTCAAACGACATCAACGTCCGACTCGAGCTAGTCGATACCCTTTTCGAACTTCAACTTCACTCTCAAGCCCTTGACGAGGCTCGCCATGCTCTCTCCACCAATGGACAGCTTTTACAAGGAAAGCCAATAGACCTTCGCACGAAACTCACCAGGATGGCTCTTGGCATGCTTGTCATCTATCTTGACGCCATGGTTCACGCTCGTTTTCGGGACATCTACCCAAGGATTCGATTATTGCTCGAGGAGCGAGCAAAGGAGACGGTGGAGAATGAAAGGGTCACAGCTAAAAATACGGAGGATTGGTATTACATCACCTTGTCCCAGGTACGTTATCAACTCAGGCTATGATGATTCACTGATGAAAGGTCATTTTCGCTAAGACTTATTTGCAAACGATCCGACTAGCAGAGACACAATACGAACAGAATGACCCTCCCCCGATACTAAACCACCATCTCCTGAACAACCTCCTCATGTCGAAGAAAAATTTGGAAGAGAGACCATGGGCCTTACACAGCTCTCTTCTTGCGTTGTCGATCGCACAAGGTCTTATATTCTTCCATCACCAAATAGGCAGAGAATATACTTTCGAAAGCCCCGACATCCCGCCGTACCTTCCATCTCTAGCTCTTTTACGCTCTTTCGACGGTTCCTCTGCATTTGACGACGTGAATGCTACTATTCCAAACTTCGACTTGCTTAGTCGTACTTTGGCGGAACACCGTCTCCCCATACCATCAGGACACGCAAACTTCATTGGTACTTTGTTACAAGCAAGAAAAGATCTCGAGGACGATAAATCAATAAGCACCCTGCCGACCCTCATCGCTCATTTGCAGGATATGACATCTCTAGGATTACCGGGATCCACCGACATGGCCCAAGCTGCCATTCAAAACCTGGTTCGAATAGAAGGACATCCGGGCGTAGCACACATGGACCGACTTGTGGAAGCTCCTCGTAATCTTTGTCGAACGGTCCAACGTCTTTCGGGTGCTCTTCTTCTACACGTTCAACTCGAATTATCAACCATGGTCGACCTAAGTGACCGCGGTCTATTTCATGGTGAACAAGTGAAAGTAGCCGAGGATCTCTTTCAAACCATTCAAACAGCAGAGTGTAATAAGTATAAATCCAGTGTCGCATATCACATCGCCAGAGCGTATTTACGAATGGGCGATACTCCGAAAATCTCCAGATCGTCTACAAACCTGTCCAAGGCGTTCGGATGGATCAAACTTTCTTTCCGACTGTCACCCCTTGACACGTCGGAAAAAGCTCAAGCTGCAAAGCTGTTTATCAAAATCATATCTGTTGTCGACCCTCCGGCGGAGGAGATGCAGATCGTCCTCGATGATTTCCTACCTTATGTCAGAGATCGAGTCGAGGAATCCATGTTCATTGTTGATGTGTTCAACATCATGATGAAGCTCTGTGATTATCTTCGACCTCATGCGGTTTCAAAACGTCCTCTGGCTCTCGAACAAATGGAGCAGATCTTGCAAATTATGAAATCTTGCCTTCAGCATTCTTCTCATCTTTCTTCCGAAGTGAAAGAACTTATGGAGTTTGAGTATGAACGAAATGGTCTTTGGGCGAGTCTATGCGTCACACTCACATCAGAAAATCTCGAGTCTCATCTAGCAGCATTACGAGAATTAGAAGATTTAACCTCAGGTTCAAGTCAGAACGAAGAAGGGAAGAAATCTTTCTGGAGCGATATCACCCTTTTTCAAGATTATTTCGATCTCGGACAACTCTACTCTCAACATCGGGAAGAAATCTCGCTTATTCGTCCAATATTGCCAACTGACCAGACGACTTCTCAACACAAACACCCGGGTTTATCCACTCGATCAAGCTCGAAAGACGGTTATCCCAGAAGATCCAGTCAATCTTCTCAACAATTACCTCAAACCACCCTACTGTCACTAAAAGCTCAAAAGGCCTATCGAGCAGCTTCAAACATCGCCAATGTACTTGGTATGACCTCGCTCCGTTTAAGAGCCAATATCAAATTACTCGAAAATTTTTACGACCTTTGGGTAGATTCTGACTGTCCTTCATCAGAAGCGGAAGATCTTTTAGATACATATCGTATCATCGAGGAACTGGCGCAAATGAGTCGGAAGGAGAATTATCCCATTAATGATCATCCTATAAATTCACAAATAGCAAAATCCCAATCAAGTCAATCTCTTCGAAGGATCATCCCGCATTTGTTATTATCCCTCGAACGACCAGAAGAAGCTTGGATCTGGATACAAACTTCAAAAGCCAAATTCATCTCTGAACAATTAAGATTGGATCAAAGGATCCCAGAGAGAATACAACGAGAGTTGAAATCTGATGAAGAGGCTGCAAAGTTGTTATGTGAAGAAATGGAACTGTTGAGAAAGATAAAAGATGCTCCGGGGTATTCAGCACCTTATATGTTACATCAACAATTGGAGATATTGAGGGAAGAGAAGATGAGAGGGAATTCGGTTTTGAGAGAATGGATGGATATGAGAGAAGGTAGGTGCGAAGGGCTGGATAAATTTCTCACAAGAGTTTCTTCTGGTGGGGACTTTTCACCTCCTCGACATAACCTCAATCCGGACAGGATAAGTTTCGTACATTCACCTTCGGATACAAAATGGTTCGAAACACAAGAGAGAATGAAAAGTAAAATGGGAAAGCAAGGGACCGTCGAAAGTGAGGAAAAAGAAAGGACAGTCGTGGCCCTGATCGATTACTCTTTCATCGGTACTAACCTATACATCTTCATCTCACGCGATTCTCAACTCACATACGAACCAATTCCTATCCCTCCTCCTCATCTACCTGCTCCATTTACAACACCTCCACTGGGACCATCCATGCATCATACTACCCTCAAGCGGCAATTCAAAATCTCATCATTCGATATGCTCCTCGAAACAATCTCCGACCCATCCTCTTTCGACGTAGAAGAAGATTTCTGTCCACTACGTAACTTTGATTTCCTCGTTGAACCATTGGAAGGATTCACGAAACCCGATGATCTATTAGTGTTTTGTCCTGCTGAAGAAATGAGAGGTATCCCATTACACGCTTTGAGATTGCGGGAGGGTCTGATGATAGAGAGAAATCCATGTGTTTACACTTCTGACTTTATGGGTTTTGCAAGGTGTTTAGAAAGGGCCAAAAGTCGAGTTTCCCCTTCGACAAGTTCAGGAGGAAGTTCTTCAAGATTGTCTTCTTTTCATACACCTTCATTCCATTCTTCTCTCACAGAAGTCATACCTTTGTCAGATCAAGAACCGTCGTCTACTCTTGTGACACCTCGTATGATGATCACCAACCTGTCTCCCGTCTCGATCCCTCGTTTAGCCCATGATGAAGAAGTGGTGGAAAATTCCAGAGGAAAAATTCCCGAAAGACCAAAATTAAGAGTAGTGACAAGTTCTTTCTCTCCCATGAATACATATCCGAATCAAATACCCCAAGATGATCCAACTCGTTCTTCATACCAAAACGTCAAGTCAATCAATCATCTCTTTGAAGAGAATCAAGTTGATAAATACAGACACGAGTCTTATCAACCAGTCAGGGAGAAGAAGTTCCATCCGGAGAAAGGAAAGGTTATTGGGAAACAACATGAGGAGAAAAGCGAAAGCAAATATGAAAGATACGTTCCGTCGAAGTGGGTTGATCTTGATCTTCAAGAAGATGATATGAGAAATCATGGTATAACAGACTTAGCCCAGGGGATAAATGCAGGTCTTTTATTCGGTGAAGAAGTTACTAAAGAAAGTATGATGAACGTTTTGAAAGATAGTCGTGTGGTCTTGTTTTTGGGGGAGTTTGATGAACATGAGGAAGAGGAGTGTTTGAGGTTATTCGATTGTGAGTGATTTAAAACATCTTATCATCTTTACATTTCTGTATTTAACTTTCACATTTCATTTCTCTCTCTCTCTCAAAGTTAGTATAAACAACAAAGAATCTTGAGTTTGTGGTCATATTCTGTCAAGGGAAGAGGAAAACGAGAAAAACGTTTTTACAAAATGTTTGAAAAAACAAATCATATCATCAACGTACTATTACTAACTTTTCAGCGCCTCTAACAATCTCCGATTTATTTTCCATAACCCTTCCTCATTCTCTTCTACTATTATGTGGTTGTTCAACCTCCAACCAAACTTCTAAATCTCATTTCAACCCTTTCAATCTGATCAACTCCGCATTGATCTCTGGCGCAAATTCAGTGATAGCTTCATTATGGTCTGTGGAACATGATTCAAGTATAAATTTCTCTTCAAAGTTTTTGAATAACCTTACCACTCCTCCTTCTCATCTTACGAACTCACGAAATCCTTCAGACGGTTTGAAATCAAGTTGTCCTATTTCCCCTTACCGACCTTCTGCTTCTACGGATGAATCAACATGTACTTGTTCACCTGAGGACGTGATGAGATATAATACATCTTCTCCGATTTCTCCTTGGGTAAATGGAGATGATAAGGGGAATGAATCAGCGGTTGAGATGAGATCGAGATATGTTTCTTGTTCACCTACTTCGCCTGAAAAATCTGGATATGATATCGGTAGTAGATCGGTTACTCCCACTAAATCAAGATCAAGATACGTTTCTTGTTCTCCGACTTCTCCGACCAAGTCGAGATATGTTTCTTGTTCGCCGACTTCCCCGAACAAGTCGAGATATGTTTCTTGTTCACCTACTTCGTCAAATTCTTCTAAAGATCCAACCAAGTCGAGATATATATCCCTATCCCCTTCCCCCGAGTCCCATTCAGCTGAAGACGATGATTCGTCACCCGCAACGAAATCGAGATATGTATCCCTTTCCCCTACCTCACCTTCTTCTACTGGTTCAAGATCCGCCAAACAGCGTTCCAATCATTCAGGATCAACCGACACTCACTCTGAGGATATGGCCTACCTATCTTTCTCTCCTACACCTATCGATTCCAGACGTACATCCAAATCTCCATCCACTTTCCTCTCTTGTTTACCCACTCCAGTTCCATCTCCGAGAACTTCTCCATCTCCCACACCGGGTACCTCCTCCAATACCTCCCCATCTCCTACTGGAAGATCTCCCTCTACCTCTCCGACATTCTACAGTGCCCATGTTTCTTCAATCAACTTGATCCCATCCTCCAATCATCATCCCCAATCTGACACTTCCGAACTGTTGTTCCCATCTATGAACCAACGCTCCGATGGTCTCGCAGGATCACTTGGTAGAACTTATAACAGTACGAGTAGTGTAGATCAGTCCGAACTTAGAGATTTGTCAGATCCGGGTGGAGTAAGGAAGGAAAGTATGGTCAATATCGCTCGAACGTTCCAACGATCTATCTTGAAATTGAGAGGTGAGAAGAAGACACCGTTTCATTGGGCTGGATACATGTTGTTTGGGTCTCCCACTATGAGACATCGAAACTTACGATCTTGACCCCTTCTCCCCAGTCTTCATTCCCCCTCTTCCACCACTTGTGCCATCTAAACTGTTCTTTCCATGATCGCCACTGCGCCGTACGTCTCTAGTCGATGGATTGTCGATAGGCTGAGGGGTACGAAGGTCAGTCGCCACTGCACTGTTATCGCATAGCTGTTGCATGTTGTATCTTGTAACATGTAAAAGAAATTGATGAATGATGCACCGCTTCATCTCGGCATCCACCTCCACCTCGAACGATCCCATGCCCCGATGACGACGGATGGTTGATGACCCAGTCGTACGATGTCACAAATGTTGCGAGGGATGAAGGAAGCGATGTGACATGCGTCATATTCAATTCCCGACCATGGACCTCATAGCCCCATTTCCTCATGATCCTCTGGACCCGTGGTCCCGTACACCCTCGAGCACTGCGTCGAGAGATGACAGGTATGTAACACTCATCTGATACGAGTAGAAGGGTAGGGGTAAAATGGTAGAAGAATGCCAAGTGAATCAGACGGAGTTCAACTTTTACACCGCCTTATTGTGATTTCTTGGCCCAACTTGGTCATTCCTCATACTAACCTCATTACAGTCCATGAGAACTTGTCATCCCCTCATCTTTATCCACTTTCTCTCTAATCTGTCTCAGGTCGTACTACACTCGTATCACTTACTGTCGGTAGGTTCAAAGTTGAAGTAACTTAGTGTGGGTGGGTGCCAAGAAGTATAGCCAAGAAGTGGAAGGAAATTGCTTCCGTTCCACCGCCACCCTCTACTAACAACCTTACTTTATCCCATCAAACCATTAATCCCCATCTCCCCATTCTCATCTTTGTATAGATACTCTGGTTCAGAAAACAAATGACAAGAGACACAAGATTAATCCGACAAGATCGTTGATATACAACAGAAACCAATTGTCCCCGGAAAAAACTAAAGAAAACGATTAGATTCTCGCCTATTCCGTCTCGTCTACTTTTCCCAAAAGGTAGATTCTCGACACACCGCCACTTGCCCCACCTTACACAGCCCACGGGGAGAAGGTGTACAAACCACTCATCTAACGGTCTACTCGGAAGATAGAAACGTGTTGTTCTCGAGGATCCGATTCATGGGGAAGATTGTCAGTCGGAACGCCCCGTAAAGCGATCTTTCCTGCCCTCAACCTGCGTGGGTAAGTCCCCACGGTTCATCGACCTACCGGTTTGACAACACCTACGATTACACTCTTTCCCAAGGGTTAGAATATCACTTTGATTTGCCACTTATAACCTTTCGACCTATACAGAAGAAGATCACCCCTCGTATTGGGTCTGTCACTTTTTCGTATGAAGGGACAAAGCAATCTTTATCAGACCCCTTTGTCCTTTACTTGATCGACATCATATCTCTTCTCAGGAAAGATTGTAGGAGAAAAAAGTTTATTCTTTATACTCCGGAAATTCTACAGGGAGTCTCGACAAGATGCCAAATCCAATACCCCCTCCACCATTGATAATCACTACCGACCTTGATCCTCCTCCCAACCCTCAACCACGTCAAAACAATGGTAATTCACCCCAGTTATCTCCCATTCCCGTCCTTGGTTCAAGTCTCAGTTCAACATCCGACTCTACACATTTACGTCCTATTGGTCAATACGGTCTAGGACGTGGACATTCACCAACCCCATCTCTCACATCATCATCTGGTCTAGCACCTCCTTCACCTACATTGACCACTTCTTCTGTCCATTTCGAAGATCTTGTAACTCCTACCACTCCTACACATCCTACCACGTTGGCATTGAGAGATAATCATCCTAATGCGGAGAGCGGAGGACAAACCCTAAGAGTTATAGGAGAGAACGAAGATGGTAGATCTAGAGGATGGAGTGTAGGTACATGGTCAACTACGGAAAATTTAACGGAGATAGGAACACCTAACCCTAAAGCTACTGAATTACCTAGACCGATCAGTGTAGCGGAAAGTAAAAGAGGATGGAAACAAAGGATATTACATCCTGTTAAGAAAGAAGCACAAGATAATCAAGACAAGAAAGAAACAGAAGAGAAGAAAGATAAAGCTCCTGTGATGGCTCATATCGATCCTGAGAAAGATACGACTGATCCTACTCCTTTCAAAGAAAAACCATCGAGGTTGGCTATGCTTGTTGACCCCAAAAGTTTGGAAGAGTTGGAGAAGATTGGAGGTGTAAAGGGATTATTGGATGGATTGGGGATTGATGCTCAGAAAGGTTTATCCGGAGGGTTGGCAGAAGCTCAAGCTGTTGAACAAGGAGGAGAAAGTAGGACTGATGGAGGGAATATGGATCATAGGGGTCCTCAATGGAGTGCGAGTTTGGAAAAACGAAGAGAAATTTATGGAAGGAATGATTTACCACCGAGGAAAAGTAAGAGTTTATGGTTACTCATGTGGTTGGCATTCAAGGATAAAGTTTTGGTAAGTTGTTTTATAGTCACTTCTTCCATTTCTCCAACATCACATTTCTTTCCAGGAATACGAGTCGAACGGGATGGCAGAACCTAAACAATATGTCCGTATGACCGACAACACTCAATCTCGTGAGAGGCACGAGTAGTGGAAGTAGGAATATCTGAAAATTGACAACGTTGAGTCCTCACTAACATCCAGATCCTCCTTACCATCGCAGCCGTCGTATCCCTCGCTCTTGGACTGTATCAAGACCTTGGTGTACCAGCCGAATTAGCCTACACTGCCGATTGTCCCCAAGGATGTCCTCAGCCGAAAGTCGATTGGGTAGAAGGTGTAGCCATCGTCGTAGCCATAGTCATCGTCGTTCTCGTTGGGTCGATAAACGATTGGCAAAAAGAACGTCAATTCAAAAAGTTGAATGAAAAACGTGAAGATCGTGTTGTCAAAGCTATTCGTGACGGTCGAGAAGTAGTCATAAACGTTAAAGATGTAGTCGTAGGTGATATACTCTTGTTAGAACCAGGAGAGATCGTACCTGTCGATGGAGTCTTTTTAAGGGGACATAATGTCCGATGCGACGAAAGTGGAGCTACAGGAGAATCAGATGCTATAAGGAAATTCTCATATGACGAATGTATACAAGAACGTGATGGATTAAAAGAAGGACAGAAGGCTAAGAAAGATTGTTTCTTAGTCAGTGGAGCTAAAGTTCTGGAAGGTGTAGGTGAATATGTGGTGATTTCGGTTGGTATATCGAGTTTTAATGGAAGGATCATGATGTGTGAGTTTTTATCTTTATCAGATTTGTCTTTGTGAATTTGTGAGTTTAGGACTGATAATATATAGCTATGAGGACAGACTCGGAGAATACTCCTTTGCAATTGAAGTTGAATAATTTGGCGGAATTGATTGCCAAGGCCGGTGGAGGAGCGGGATTGTTACTTTTCATTGCCCTCATGATACGGTTTTTCGTTCAGTTATCGACTGATCCTGATCGGTGAGTCATTCACCTTCCTTTCTTTCTCTGCCCGTTGGCATCATGGGGTCTTAGTCAGACTCGTAGAGATTTCGATCCTATCTCAAAGTCCAAAGCCGTTGATATATTCCATTTTTTGTGACGAGGAAAGTGGCGCGGAGGAGGCGAGATGAGTATGTAAAGATTTGACGACTGACCCCAGATCTTCCAATGACAAAGCCCAATCCTTTGTTCAAATCCTCATCATAGCAGTCACCCTCGTCGTCGTCGCCGTTCCAGAAGGTTTACCTCTTGCCGTTACTCTCGCCCTTGCCTTTGCCACAAAACGTATGACCAAACAAAACCTTCTTGTCCGTGTTCTCGGATCTTGCGAGACGATGGGTCACGCTACTGTCGTCTGCACGGACAAAACTGGTACTCTAACACAAAACGTCATGTCTGTCGTCGCTGGTTCCCTCGGAGTTCACGGTAAATTCGTTCGTAATCTTTCCGACAACGCCTCACGATCCAATGCCAACGAATCTGATTTACCCATCCGAGAAGATTTTTCCTTCGACATGGCTGATTTCAACACTGTCGCTTCTCCACAATTACAGACAACACTCAACGAAGCGATCTGCATCAATTCTACAGCTTTTGAAGATAAAGACGAAGATGGTAAACTCGATTTCGTGGGTAGTAAAACGGAAACTGCATTATTACGTTTTGCCAAAGAATTGGGTTGGGCGGATTATCGAAAAACTCGAGATGATGCTGAAATCGTACAAATGATACCTTTCAGTTCCGAACTCAAAGCTATGGGTGTTGTTATCAAACAGGATGATCATTGGAGATTATATATCAAAGGTGCTTCTGAAATCTTGATCAAACAAACAACATCTCATATAGTCGTTTCTGATTCTTCACCTGATCATTCACCAAAACCAGATCAACCAATATCTACCATACAATTCACCCCTGATACAATATCAAATATCAACAAAACTATAATTTTTTACGCTTCTCAATCTCTTCGAACATTAGCATTATGTTATCGAGATTTCCCTTGTTGGCCACCTCCAAATTCTCCCGATAGTCCAACAGATGAAGTCCCATATTCCCTCTTAGCTAGAGACTTGACATTATTAGCTATAACAGGTATAGAAGATCCTCTTCGATCTGGTGTACGTGAAGCGGTTCAACAATGTCAACATGCAGGAGTAGCGATCAAAATGTGTACAGGTGATAATGTTCTCACTGCTAGAAGTATAGCCAATCAATGTGGAATTTTCACTCCGGGTGGAATGATAATGGAAGGACCTGTATTTAGAAGATTATCAGATACGGAAAGATTAGAAGTAGTACCTAGATTACAAATTTTAGCAAGATCAAGTCCTGATGATAAAAGATTGTTAGTACAAACTTTGAAGAATATGGGTGAAGTTGTTGGTGTTACGGGTGATGGCACGAATGATGGTCCGGCTCTGAAATTAGCAAATGTTGGTTTTGCTATGGGTATAGCAGGGACAGAAGTCGCTAAAGAAGCTTCGGATATTATTTTAATGGATGATTCTTTTTCGAATGTTGTTTTGGCTATTATGTGGGGGAGATGTGTAAATGATTCGGTGAAAAAGTTTTTACAGTTTCAGATTTCGTGAGTTTCTCATCGTCTGTTCTACCTCATCATCAACTTGACTCTCTGTCTCGCTAATTGGTCTTACCCTTCACTCTTGTCATACTTGTTTCCTTCAACCTTTCTATCAAACCTGAATCTCATGATATAACGTCATATCACATTTCATTCAATCGTGACCTTCACCAGAAAAACGTCCAACAACGACCAGCTGGCATTTGAGAGCTAGTGGACTACCTTCAAGACCGCTCTTCTGAACTTCACACAATCCTACCTCATCTGTACCAATCATGAGCCGTAATCGGATGATGGAAGAAGCGGGCCCAGAAGAAACCCGAGAAAGATAAACAAGGAAATGATCAAACAACTAATCTCCAGAGTCAACATCACAGCAGTAGTCATAACTTTCGTTTCCGCAGTAGCATCAAATTCCGAAACTTCCGTCCTCACAGCCGTCCAATTATTATGGGTTAATCTCATAATGGACACTTTCGCGGCTTTAGCATTAGCTACAGATCCAGCTACAGTAACTTCATTAGATCGTGCACCCGATAAGAAATCTGCACCTTTGGTCAATATCGCTATGCTCAAGATGATCGTCGTTCAAGCTACTTATCAAATCATCGTTTGTTTGGTATTACATTTTGCTGGAAGATCAATTTTGAAAATGGATGATTCACCGGGGAACGATTCTCTGTTGAGTACTTTGGTATTTAATTGTTTTGTCTTTTGTCAGATCTGTGAGTGTAACCTTGTTTATTCAATTATATCTTTTTATCTCTTTATCTTCGTACCACCACACACGCTCGGGTATTCATGGATTTTCTACCTCGTCTTCTTCGGAATCATATCTTCATTTGACTCGCCCACTTTGGCACACATATTTGCCTACAATGGCCATGTCAGCACAGGGACAACGTGGATGAAAACTGCAAAGTTCACTTGTATGCGCCCAAGCACGTCTTCTTGGCTGAATGGGTGAATAAATATCGATGGGAGACCGAACTGGTATTCTTTTAGATACTGTGAGAATTAAGAGACGATGTTAACGAACAGTCAACCAGCTTAATTGTCGAAGATTGGATAGAAAGTTCAATATCCTCGAAGGTTTTTTTAGGAATTATTGGTTCATGGGAATATTCCTTATCAGTTCGTCCCCTTCGTCTTCTCATCACTTCACGCACACTCAATTGTCAACATTTTACAACGAGCTTTTCTACCTACTCTCCTCCTTGCTTGGTACATCCCGTTTCTCCGTTCTCTCCATCCATCATGACCCTTGAACTTGGCCAGGACACTGTGTATCTCGACCTAAGTTAAGAAACACAAAGAGAATCCACTGACATTCAGTGATCGGTGGTCAAATCCTCATAGTTGAAGTCGGTGGTGCAGCATTCACCGTAACACGATTACACGGTCGAGAATGGGGTATATCATTAATCATAGGATTACTTTCTTTACCTATAGGAGCTTTGGTCAGATTGATACCTGACGAACCTGTCGAAAGAATTTTGGTAAAATATAAACTTTACCCCGATAGGAACAAACTTCCTACGACTTCACCTTTGGCAGAAGAAGAGAAATACGAATATAACCCTGCTTTAAGTAGAGTAAAGGATAATCTCAGCACTTATGCTAATATTCGCGGAGGAAGATTGAGGGCTTCTTCTATCGTTGCGAAAAGTAGATCGGCACAGATGAGAGATGCGGATATTACTTTACCTAGTTTGTTAACTATGGTACCTACTTTGATTGGAGGTGCAGTCGGGTGAGTCGTCTTTCAAATTCTTCCTTAGGCCCTCCCTCCCACTCCTCTCCCTACCACTCCCGTCCCTCTCACTCCCCTCCCTCTCACTCCCCTCCCTCCTACTCCCCTCCTCCTCTATTCAATAATACTAAAGGCGACCTTCCTATAATGTACACGAGCGTTATGTGTTCAATCTGGTGGTGTTCAAGGTTGTCTTTCACTATTTTATCGCAGTGTTTCACATTGTCCACATCGGTCATTTGTCTATCCACATGTCATCACTACTTGAACCCATACACTTGAGATCATTATGAAAATCCTCTTGCGATCCCCGTCCTCCAAATTCGGTGTTGAAGTGGTTGCCAGAAAGATGGAAAGATAAGAATACATCGCTGACTACCAGCGCCGGCGCACATTGGCTACACGCTTCCCGTGCAGGTCTCTCAGATCCCGCTCAAGATCCATCCCGATCAGCCGCGGAACTCTTTGCTGGAAAGGTACAATTACATCCCGATACAGATCCCAACGATCCGTTGTACGATCGTTTTGCCATTCAACGGGAACATACTCGGACGCCCAGTGGGACTCACCTGACGGTTTAGTCCATCGAGATTATCTACCGAAACAATACACTGTACCCCTTTCGAAAACAGCATACCTTCTCATACCGACATTCCACCTCATTCTCGCTGTCAATCCTTCCTCACTGACAACGAGATTCTCCTATATCGACACTTCTTTCTCCCCGGCGTTCAACTCAAACATTCTTTCGGTCTCAACACGAATTCTTCCTCTGTCCTAATATCCGACAATCCCCTCATTCTCCAACACTTCCTCATCCCACGGTGAACATCCTTCTAGCAAGAAATTCATTCTTCTTTCTCACAGTCGACATCCTTCTCTCCTTCGGCAAAACCATGACATAACGGACAAACCCCCAAGTCCTCCACATGGTCAAACTCGATTGACAACCCGAAATCCTAACAAGCAGATCTGATACCCATAACCCTACCTGTATAAAGCATCGAGAAAATGTGTAATATCGGACTCGTGTAATATGTAGCATCTCCGGCATTTAGTTTGCAACCCTTATACATGCATGCATCGGTCAAATCTCATTAACATAGAGAATGGTTGAATTGACAACTTCACCCTTCATGATCTCTTCAGCCATTCTGCTTTCATATTGAAAGAAGTCCAATAACTCACCCACTCCCAAAACACGGTTTGACTCGGGTAGGATATAGCATGCATGCAAGAATCCGGTCGCAACAACGTCTCTGACAATTAACAAACCACGCTGACGGATCAAATCAAGGTACGTTCCAATTCCGACCACCAACATACATCCATGAGACACAAATGAGTCAATGAGTTATGACCCATAGTTGCAGACATTCCACGTGTGCCAAAACGAACCTCAGTGTCCTGTTCGTAATTGATCAACAGAAAAGTGCACATCATCACTCTGTACATGTAGCCATTTGTGACATTTCCCGCCGTTTATCAACCACACACGGGGACAAAATGAAGCCTGTACAAAGCATTGAGAAAATGTATGATAACGGACTCATGGATCGTGTAATAGCAGTTTGCATTCTTTCTTTACACATGCATGCATCGGTGGGAACAAACCACTTGCACGCAGGGCGGATCGACTGCAGGGTCGCATTCCCATTGACAAAACCCGTCCTGATAGTCCCATTATTTTCTCAGTGGCTTCTACATTTTCTCCCACTTCCCTTCTGAACACACCCACTAGTGCTAACAATCACCTTAGTTTCACTTCCAAAAACCATTATTTCCTTACCTCAGTAGTATGCATAGGGAGGAGCAAGAATAGATGTTCCTCTACGATCTAGTTTGATCGTGGCTACCCCAAAATGTGAGGGGAAGGAACATGCATTCACCCCGTGGATCTAAGAGGCCATGAAATAGTGGTTCACTTAGCATGTTTCTGATGCTGGGGATGGAGTCCAAGACGGCTTCACGGATCGTCAAGAGGTGTGGAAAGAACCACAGGTACATCGGGTTCCAAAGAAAGACGACTTCCACTCAACGAGCGACCACAACCTACAACAAAGAACAAAGAACGAAGACGAAAAATATTCACTCCCTGTCGGAGAATCGAACTCCGGTCTCCAGCGGTCGTTACTTTACGTAATGACAAGCTAGCATACTAGCCGTTATACGAACAGGGAGATTCTTGCTTATCTAACGCTTCAAAAAGCCATTATATAAGGATGTATGGGCACCACTGAGTGGAAGGAAGATTCTGCTTGTTTTCTTCCCATCTGAGTCTCGAAATGGAATGTTCACATTCGTGTAGTCAGGATGTAGTATAGACGTCAACATTATGAGCAAAATACAACCTCCGCCAAGTGTTTCACATTCGTCTAGTCTGAGTACAAGGCGGTCCTTGATTCGATCTGCCCCCGCGCTGTTTTTAGCCTTTTCTGCGATATCGCCATATTCCGGTGAATAGCCTCGTCACCAAACACTATGAAGTTGGAACCATCTACGAAGTGATTTACCTGTCGTGAAATACGAGGAATTGTAGATTCCCGTCACGAGAATCAACACAACCAAGCAGACCATCAACTGTGTTGTCCTTTGTATCGACTACCACTTGCCATACACTATCTGCAGTACATCCCACATATTCCACAGTAGTTTTGACAGTGTTCACCACAGTGTCTCTGCTTGCTTTAAGCGAAAAGGATGAGGTGGTGAAGGGTGTCCAAGAGAATTGAAGCATGGTGATGCGATCATTGTTTGCTGATCCAGACCAAGCAGTTGGCCATCCTTGACTTTCACACCAGTCCATGATGGCCTGCATCTGCCACGCATCAGCGCTTCCGTCTTCTAAAGCTTCTTTTTTCCGGTGTAGTGTGATGAAATGTTGTTTCCCAACAGCAGAATTGTTTCCCTCTGATAGACAAAGTCTAGATGTATCAACAAGAATACGGTTGCTGGGGACACCGCGGGAGACACGGTTGCCGGAAGCGCGGTCGGAGTTGGAAGAGGCGGTAGGAATAGAGTAAAATGACCTTCCATGGCCTCAACCATCCTTCCATGGCCTCAACCATCCTTCCATGGCCTCAACCATTAGACTTGTTTTTTCAAAGCGATTTGAGGAGTGGAGTGAGGGAGAGAGTGTAGCTTGAATGCTAGGGAACGATCCCAATCTGGGGGAAAGGGATAGTCTTCTTTAGTTTTGAGCCAAGAGGCATTGAGTGGGTAGGAAGGGGTCATCTCGATATCGACCATATCAAATGTTATCAATCGTTGACTTTTCCGACCGATATGTGTCGCTTGACAAAGGATATATGACCGAATTGACAGGCGGGGGCGTACGTCAAAGAATGTTTTGGCGTGGATCGATTTCTCCGAGATGTATTGATATAGATCAAGGTGATATAGCCTGATGACAGCTTGGGGACGTACGTCTGAAGTTAGCTCAGTTTGGAGATGGCTCAGTACAGTCTCCCTCCCAGGAATATGGATCAATTTCCAGTAGAGTTGTGTCAGTTGAGCAATCAAACAAAGGGGAAAAAAGTTGCATCATTCATCGATGGGTATCTCAAGTATTTCATGGTCGTGAATGAGCTTCCGCGGAACGCCTTTGTTATCTCTCGTTGGGTTGTCGATCTAAGCTTTTGAGAACATGATCAGAGGGGAATACGAAGGCATGCGTTACAGTCAGGAGATGGGGAATTTTGAGAACATCGATTTGGGGTTTTGTACAGATCATAATGACTTCATGGGGTGGATATCAAAGTGAAGAGAGAACCACAAGTAGGGAGTGTTGAGAGAAGTATGTGTAGGGGAAGATAACTAGCTCGGAGCGTCCAGGACGATTTCCATCTGTTCATTAGCATCGTTTGGATTATATGCGTGGGGGCGGGAAAGTTCAGTCAGTGAGGGGTAGTCGGGAATGATTAGCAGATATGGGCGACGGGATGAAGGTTCAAGACGGTGGGACGCTTCGGATCAAGAAGAAATGTCCGGCAGCTGGAGAGAATGCAAACTTGATACGGGTGGTCAATGAGTGAGTGCAGAGTAAGAAAACGGGAGATACTGACAAATTCATTATAGTCAAACGTTACTCTTCCTTCACCTCTAACATCCATTCTGAATGTCAGCACCGCTTTTACTCATCACTTTCGCCAAACGAGCTTTCAGCACAATGTACACGGATTGTGTAAGGAACTGACATATCTCCCTGTACAAAAGTGGAGTCGGCACAGATCGCATGTCAAGTGAATATTGATGACATGAAGATAAGGGGAAACCGACGTACCGCCTAAACGCCTCTGTGTAATGTTTCACAGTCACGCAAGCCATCAAAAACCTATCGAAACTGATCCCCTTCATCGGTGGTTGACCCGGATTGGGAGGAGGGGCATAACGTTTTTCCAACTTTCGAACCATCTCCGATGGGAGAGAAAAGCCGAATCCTAGCAATGCCGAGTGAAGCTCTTTGCGGTCTATGAGACCGGAGTTATCACGGTCGAATCGAAGGAAAATCGCGTGCCAATCCTGGGAGTCAGCAAGATGAACGTGATATTGAAACTTTACACCCATATGTTTGAGACGGACTGTTGAGTACTATGCAAGGGGTTTGAAGGAAAAGGTCAACGAGAGCTGTAATCTAATGACAACGATAGGGTTGGGGTCACCAGAGCCGGTGGGATCGACAGCTGAGATGTTGAAATGACAAGTGATAGGGGAATGAGGGATTATGTGTGAAGTTACATGTAGAGGGGCGAAATCGGGTAGGAAGATAACTTGACTCACCTTGATATACCTATACAACCCCTCAAACTCCTGAAAATTGATACTCCCACTCCTATCCGTATCAAAGATATTCATGAGCATCTTTACACAATCTTCCCTCGCTTCCATCGTTGCATCCTTTGCCAAAAGTTTCTGCAGATCATACGCGTTCAATTGGCCCGTTCGAGAACCATCAAATTGTTCAAACCTACCCGTCAGAACAACACACGAGGCAGGAAGATACGTCATTACTCACAAAATCTCGAGTTCCTGTTTCGGCGGCTGATCTGCAGGAGGGGGCGAAACGACTTGTTGCGGCTGTTGTTGTTGTTGAGCCCATTGTTGATTGGGAGGTGGGACCGCTTGTTGACTCCATTGAGGAGGAGGAACACCTGCGCTTCTAGGAGGGGCTGGTCCAGGTTGTCCTTGATTAGGATTATAACCGCCCGGAGGACCTGAATAACGTTGTTGGGGACTTGTATAACCTTGTTGATATCCTCCCGGAGGTCCTTGCTGTGCGGGGGGACCGGGTGGACGTTGAGTGGGATATTGCCCAGGAGGGTAAGGATTACCGTTTACTGGATTGGGAGAAAAATGAGTTTGTTGTGGTGAGAATTGAGATCGAGGAGGATTTTGACCGGGAGGTAATTGTCCTAGTTGTGGAGATTGATTGATGGAAGAAGGACGACCAGGTGGAGGTGGTCCACCATAAGGTGGATAACCTTGTTGAGGAGGTCTGGGAGGTCCTTGTTGTTGTTGGGGTGGAGGTTGTTGTGGTTGTTGACCTTGAAGCTTCTTTCTCTCCTCCTCTTCTTCTTTCCTAGCTGTCTCCTCGCGTTTCTTTGCGTATCTCTCTTCATACCTTCTTCTGGCTTCATCCGACACGCTGCCATAAGGCGAAGGGGTCGCCATGAGAGGACCTGATGGGGGCATCTGCGGGTTTGGGGATCTACGAGGAGTTGGATTTCTTTGTGAGGGAGGTTGAGGATTTGAGTGATCGTGTAATGCTTTGTCGGCTGTTGCAAAAGGAGAATCACCTGAAGATGGTCTACCCAAGTACATGTCAAAAGAGAGAAGAAGAAGGGGAAGTAAGGGGCTGATTGATGACGAGCGGCGAGGCAGGGGGAAGATGTTGAAAGGGGTGTGGCTTCAGCTTGGACCTCCGGGATGACGGGGATGGGGAATTAAAATCGTCATTTATTTAATTATAATTAATCCCATCAAGGTATGACGATACACGCTCCTCTCCCCTCGCAACACACCCTTCCACCGCTTTCACCCCTTCTGCTATTTACATATACACTCGTGCCCCATCATACACTTGACTCTTTCTTCTTCTACACATTCTCAGCGCTCTAATCATCTCTGAAAAGCTTATAGACTCGAATAGAGGTCGTTGAGTCACACTCCAAGTCTTCTTTATCCCCCCATCATGGCCGTAAGTCATGCTCCACAGCCTTGCTTCTCTGCTGACATTCATCAGACAAGAGACCCCCTTTCAGGTCATCTAGACCATCTGTGAGTATCATTATTTTCTATCGTAGCTGTGTTTATGCTTACACAACTCTTCTCTCAACCGACCGTTCCACCTACGCTCACTCCTTTGTCTCCTTTCCCGTCGCGTGACATGCCCCGTTCTCTCTTATTCCGCACGTCCCATAACCACGTTGTCGTCTCAATCCCTCTTTCGTCGTGTGATATGGACTACTGGGTTGGCTATGCAGAGATGAATCACAAACAGCCGCTTTGGCCCAGTTCAGATCCGAACTCGTCGCTGAGTCCCTCATTCCTGCCGATACCGCCGCCTACGCCGAGAAAATCGGTTATGATCGATATGACGACCAAGCACTGCTGCGGTTCCTCCGAGCGAGAAAGTTTGATCTTCCAAAAGCTAAGATTATGTGGGCTGCGAATGAGAAGTGGAGAGCTGATTTTGGTGCGGATGAAATAGCTGAGTGAGTCATCATGTGTGTTGGATGAACCCTTCGCTGACTCAATTCCTCCCTGTCGAAACAATTTCCTTCTCCTACTTCACACACGTGTCAACCTTCTCTGCTCCCCCATCTTTTCCTCCTGGTGCGACTGTGTACACCACGCGAATCACTCTTCCTCTTCTCTCTCATGTGACATGGGCGAGTAGGAACGGTTTCGACTACCCTGAGCAATCCGAAGTGGACAAATATTATCCCCAATACTACCACAAAATCGATCGCGAAGGTCGACCGATCTACATTGAACAACTTGGAAAGCTCGACATTCCCAAACTATACGCATTAACGACACAAGAACGTCAACTCAAGCATCTCGTATCGGAATATGAAAAGTTTTTCAAGTATCGTTTACCTGCTTGTACCAAGGAGACGGGGAAGTTGGTAGAGACTAGTTGCACAATCTTAGATTTGTACAATGCGGGGATATCAAGCTTTTACAGAGGTTCGTTTGCCCCCACATGCCACTGAAGGCAATCGTGTGATCGATGCTGATGATATAGTGAAAGACTACGTTTCGGCGGCATCGACAATCGGTCAAAATTACTACCCAGAGACTATGGGACATATGTTCATTGTCAACGTGGGTGGCATCTGCATCAACTCCACCACTCCTCTCTCATGTTACCGATCACCCCATCCAGATCCTGAGCTCAGGCGCGTCCCGGTCACATAACGTATCACTCCAGTACTTCTCCGTAGCATTTGTAAGATATTCACTCAATGCTCTGCTTTTCTCTGTTTTTGTACCGTCAATCTCAATGGAATCATCCGCTGACAGCAGGCACCATACCTCTTCTCCACAGTCTGGTCACTCATCAAACCTTGGCTCGACGAAGCCACTGTTCGAAAGATTCACATCCTTGGTAAAGGGTACAAAACCGAATTGATCAAGTACATTCCGGAAGAGAACCTACCAGCGGATCTGGGCGGGACGTGCCATTGTAAGGGAGGATGTAGTCTGAGTGATGCGGGACCTTGGAATCCGCAAGATCAAGCGTGAAGATGATGGTCCTATCCCGAGTTGTTTGAGTCTTTGAGGAGATAACCCGCTTGACGCAATTTCGACATGAAAGTAAGTAGACAGTCTGATAAACATCGGCATTTGGCCATGAGTAGGAAGTGAAATGATGACCCCTGTAATGCATCCCTCTCCTTGAATATATTGATATACTGATGCGCTTATAAGTAGTATTGACTCTACTCCGCGGTGAGAGATATTGCCTAATTCGGGTCGAAGGGTCACATCCTTCTAGGACCGGTGACGGAAGAGCAACTGTGCGAGCTTGACAACAGGAACACCGAACATTCTGCAAAATGCTTTTTTGGCAATGAGATCGCCGTCGCCAAGATCGTATTACTCCACTCGCTCTAGCTATATTCTATGTATCAATCGCCAGTATCTCTGACCCTTGATGGTTCCTTGAAACCATGAAATAATAAACCGAGGGAAAATGTTCATTGTTGTCAAGACGAATTCTAACCTCGGACATGCTTCATTTCACCTGAAAACAGTTTGTCAAGAGGACATCTGTTACTTTAAGTGAACTCTCACACATCTTGTAACAAGTTTATGGGGAAACAGAAGAACCATGTCAAGTAGTCTAGTGCTCATCTTGACCAAACGCAAATATCATGAAACCATCTTGAAGATTCAACGATTGTTGTTGGTACCTTGAATAAGCCCATCGGAAGAAAATTCTTGAACGGATATTTAAACACGGGTACACGGAGGGGCGACCAGATGGATGATTGAGGGGGCAGGTGGGTGTCACGAACCATGTCGTAACATCCCTGACAACCACCATCACCGAACCCATCCATCGTCAACCACCACCACCCGAACCACTAAGACCGACTACGACAAAGTCACGAGAACCTAGGGAGCATTTGTCACAACAACCCCGACTGGCGGAGAACTACGGCAAAGTTAGGAGAAGGAGACCAAGGGATACAGGGTAGAGTGGAGGAAGTAAGACGAAGTGCGGCAAAGTGAGCGGAGTAGGACATGGGGGATATGGTGAGGTACAGCGAAGTTGAACAAAGAGGACTGAGCGCGAGGCTGTGCAGGAGTTGAGGGATGTTCTGTGAGAAGGGAGGAGAAGTATAGATAGTTTACAGATTGCTGAACTTCTTCAGCAATCCTTGATTGTTGTCAGTAGCGAGAGATATATTCAGTAGCTACGACCTTTGAGTTAAGGAGAGCTACCATCCAGCAGATCTACACACCATGGCGAAGTTAGCCACAGTTCATCGACGAGTACCCCGTCTCAGTGAGACATCCACACCCCAGTGCGACGTAGTCAGCCTAGGTTTGTCTACCATTGGTTAGTAGAGAAGAAGAACCGACGTTTGTGACATGTCCCGAGTTTGATCTCGCGGAGTTTCTCGGTAATTTACATATGACTCGTGGTGGCGGTACGATCAACAGTCTCCCGGTAATATGTAACTTACCCGAGGCGGTGTGGTTTTTACCTTGTTTGTCTCTCACCATCCATCTCTCACCACCCATCTCTCACCAGCCATCCCCCACCAGCCATCTCTCACCACCCATCTCTCACCGCCCACACTATGTCTCGTACTCCCTCACCCACTCACACACCCACGACCACCGACCCGTCAGGCGATGACATCCTACTGACTCCATATACACGTCTTCCGCCAGATGTCTCCCTCGCTGATCGTCCGGATACGTTTGCCTCCGTAGTCACCTTTCGTCGTCCTTTTCCACCCACCTGGCCTGATCAGTCTCTTGACGACATCTGCGAAGAACTGCGGGACATCTCTGGGGATGGCATCAATGAGACTTTCATTAATTCTTTGTTGGTCATGCAAATGTCAAGATACATAACTGCATCTTCCCGCCAGTACGTTGTAAGAGCTCGGACCGACAAAGATGTGCATCGATGGAAAAGTAGGGACGGTGTCGAATGGGCTTTTGCGGACATTCAAAAACACATAAGAAAACTGAGATATAAACACGGAAGCTTAGTTCCTAGGGTCATCGCAGGGTCTTCCAGTTAGTCTGAAGACTTTCTATCTCTCTCACCTTGTCGTTCTGTCAACCTTGTAAAGAAGAACACTGACTTCATCATCAGATAATCTTGCGTCTGATATTCAATCCGACTTATCCCCCAGCGCTCTTGTCACTGCCACTTCTCGCTTGTCTACTTCTTCCCACAATGGAGTCATTAAACCAGACTACATATATGCGGGTCAATGGTCTTTATCTGTGGAAAATGATATTTCAGAATCGGCAAAAAAAAAAACCAAATCCAAAAAAAAGGTAAAAACTGAATTTCACGCTGTTGGTATTGTCGGTGAAAGAAAAGACGATGATCGGTACATACCTGAAGGAATAGCCCAGGCGTTGGTTTATCAGAAAACCTCTTTTCAATGTTTCGGAACCTACATGTCTTTTTTCATGTTTCAAGGTGAATATTTTCGAATTCTAATGCCGTCGGCAGAACAAATCATCGTAGAAGTGAATGCCGATTTTCGTTTGTTAGTTTCGGATCATTTTCATCTGAACGATCACAGGTCCAAAAGCGAAGTTGATGATTCAAACCCACAATCGACAACAGCTTTACTGAGTATGAGTCAATTTCTGACTCTACCTCGTAAGATATTGAAACGAATCTTTACACATTGTATACACTCGGAGAATGGAGAACACAGTGTAGATGGCGCTCAGCCACTCTGGGATTCGTTACTACATGCTTGTTCTTTGGTTTTGTCCCATTCTCATCAGTGTCCTAAAATCGAAACCCCTGTGCAGTGGGAGGAGATCATTAGAGGTTGGAATAGTGTGGCATTACGACTACAACAGGGGGAAAACGATTTACTAGCGGCTACTCTCTTTCCACAAGTTGGAAGAGGCTTGAAACGTAAAGTCGATGAGGATGAAGACGAAGACGAAAATGAAGATGAAGACGAAGATGAAGACGATGGCGAAGACGAAGACGACGACGAAGATGAAGACGATGACGAAGATGAAGACGACGACGAAGATGGGGGAGGGGCGACGAAGATGCAGACGAAGGAGGAGGAGGAGGAGGAAGAAGAGAAGGAGGAGGAGAAGGAGAAGGAGCAAGAGGAAGAAGAAGAGGAGGAGGAAGAGGAGGAGGAGGAGGAGGAGGAGGAGGAGAAGGAGGAGAAGGAGGAGGAGAAGGAGGTAGAGGTACTCAACATGTTGTGCCTAATTGGAATACGATCTTAGGTAGAGAGTGGCCTATACCTGTCGGTGACTCTTTAGATTCGTGTGAGTTTTTCGCAATCGTTTCAACGTTCCCTCTCTTCCCTCTTCCTCTCACTCTGTAACCCATCTTTATCCGACAGGCTCTCAATGACATCTTTCATCCCCCTCCCTCTCCCTCCTTCTCCCCAACTTTGTGATTATACGACCATGACGAAGGCTCGTTCCATGGATGTCCATCCTGAGAAAGTCAAGAATCCTGAAGGATCACGATACACGATTAACTCTCACATTCTAGACACTCTCCCACTGACACATCAGTCGACTTGAAACCTTCCGACGAACATGGATTTCTGATCGATGCTCTGACTTCAACTTCGCCATCAACACCGACACCAACAAGCGTCTTACTTGTAAACTCCAGTCAGTACAATCTGTTACTGAGTCTGGCCGATAAGAAGATTAGGGAGAGTGGACGACTGTATCCATCTTCTTCCACTGGTCTGTCCCAAGATTTGTCATTGCGGATGGAAGAGGCTATCGGAAGGGCGAATGAGGGTATCGGTAACGATGACGGGATGAGCGTGAAGAATGGGAGCAAATCATGGCCTAGCGGCTATCTCATCTCAACACCGCCCTTGATCGCAAGGACGAGCGAGCAAGGAAGAGACAGGCTGGAAGTGTAGAGGAAAAGAAAAAAAAGGCGACTTGGCGGAATTACCACATGTTGTATGTATCTTTAGGTACCTCGTCGTTGTCTATTTGGCCCATCTACAAACACGCCTGTGGTATCAAGGTGATACTCTTTGAGCAAGGTCATGTCAATAAAGCCGCCGGCGGCCGGCGACGGTGGAAGCAGATTCGCCACAAATGCCACAAATACCACAATTGCGACAAATCATCTCCCTTCTCTTTCATCTCATCTTTTCCTATGGTGCAAGTCAGCTCATGTCCTCTTTTATGATTACGCTGACTGAATAGGTCAACATGCCTCGTTTATCTCCTTTCTCTCTGCTCCGCTCACCCATCTCTCGACGTTCTCTCCCTTTTTCTCTTCCTTCTCTTCGATCAGCAATATCACCAACACCTTCAAAACCAATCAACCTCTCTACTTCCTTACTACCCTCATCACTCAAATCTCTCTCCTCACGCTATATCACATCTTTTCACTTGAGTCGACGACTATCTCTCCTTTCGACCCTACCCTCTTCTCGTTCAAATAACATCTCTCTCGTTCGACCGAGTTTATGGTCTCATCTTCAAGTCAGATATGTGACAAGAGGAAACTCGTATCAACCTTCTCAAAGAAAAAGGAAGAGAAAACATGGGTTTTTATCACGTTCTAGGACAAAATTAGGAAGGAAGATCTTATCTCGGAGAAAAACTAAAGGAAGGAAATTTTTAAGTCATTGATTGTCTTGTTAGAGGTATGTCATTCTCAACTTGTCATTTCACACACTTGTTTCTCCATTAAGAATCTACCTTAAGTATTCTATCTCTTTCTATCTCTTTTGATGATCTCCTCTACACCTGTTAATGTTATTCCCTGAACCATGACTCCGTTTTTATATACGATCATCTCACTGACCCAGTCAGAGGATTTGACCTCTGAATTTTTTGTCTTTTCAAACGAGTAATCTTCCGATCATCCCCATACTTCATCGTCGACTCTATATATCGTTTTCCTCACTTTTTCAAAAGTACCAACACCTCTTTCCTCTTTTCACATCGAATGTTTTCCCCCTAACTATTTCCCCCGTCGCTCATTCAGCTCTACTGTCTCCACTTCTTTCATCACCTGCCATTTTTTCTCTTACCGAACCCGATTGCAGAGTCATTTTTCGCACCTGGAATGGAAAAGGAGAACTATGTTCTCTCCACTGAACGAAAAGCGGATCATATTCAAGCAACTAACTCGCGAGTGGTCATTAGAGTGCTCAAGATTGTGAGAAGTATTGCGAATTAAGGAATGGACAAAAGATCAAAAAAGAAAATGCATTCGTACTTGTACTTGCACATAATACATCAAGACCAGCCCCAATTGTTGATGGGTTCTTACCAATTACATTATTCACATTTACATTCATTTTCCTTATATCATCTTACCATTTGATATCAATCTGATCTCGGACCTCTGTACACTTACGCTGGTGGTCTAAAGTATATGAGGTATATAAGCCCCCCTACACTTACATATCGATCACACTCAGACTATCTATCCCATATATAGTTCGTTTTGACAAAACTCTCTGGACCATTTCGACCATTCAAGACGTCATCTTCAGTCAGATTACTGATACTGGGAATGACATCATCTCTCACCAAACCTCAAAATTTTTACTCAAACTGATGTTTCTGTCGATACTCTTGATGGAATAATGATACACTTGCGAGGATTATACATACAAAAGTTTTTATTCAAACTCGTACCGATTACGGACTGTACTGTGCAAGTAAAGCAGGTATCTCATCAAAAACTATCCAAAACAAATCATCATCACAAAACTTGATCACACTCAAAGAAAGGATATATAATCAAAGATTGGTCATAACCCTCCAAAGAAAAGAAGTTGGATCAAACTTGAGGATCCCAACCTTTCTCTCCTACAGAAGGTAACCATCCTTCCCCTCTTTTCCTGATCGTTTCAGGTGGAGGTCCGACTAATTTATCTATCAAATGAGGTAATCTACCTGATGGTGAGGCGGAACGAAGGAGGGTCACATAACGTGCGAGTTCTAGATGCAGTGTGGGGTAATACACCGTGGAAGCTTTACGGAATGTCTAGATGTCAGTTTTGCTCGTTTGAACGATGGGTTGATAAGATGAATTAGTGATAGAGACGTCAATTTGGTGAGAAGATCCAAATGGGGTATCAGAGATGAAGCACTAAGATGACGTAGGGAAAAGATGGAAAACGGGAGACGAAAAGTGGATAGGTGTTCAAAGGGGAGAGGTACAGAGAGGAGAAGGGACTGACAACGAGAATTCGATCAAGACCAGAGACTAGAAGATCATAATGTAATTGAGTTGCTTTTTCTTTATTCTGTGCCGCTTGAGCTATACAAAGTGCGTTGAGAAGTTTGAAATGGGTTGTCTTTAGTTCAGCTTGTGACCCCACACCCCATCTCTTTCCTTTGCTAAGCTTCCGCTTGCGTTAAGGTTTTGTTACACCCCCATTTCCCAATCGTCGTAATGAATCAACTTCGATAGGCTTTGATGACTGCAGCAAAGCGAGTGAGTAAGCGAGGTCTGGTAGGATGCTGCTTCTCCGGACTTGATGTGACGATCAATAGGGAAGCTGGAGCACAAACCGAGAGGTCATGCAGGCGAGATCTCATAGGAGCGGACAGTGTGAAAGGAGAGAAGAGCAAGTCAACTCACAACATAACCCATAGCTTCAAATTCCACCCCTCCAGTCGCCCCACCAGGAGCTACCGGTTTCTCAGCTAAACTTTCGTCCACTTGATCCAACGCCCAGAGAGTGTTCGAGCCGTGACACATGACCCTGGGATCAACGACCGTGCTTCATACCATACTACGTTTCTGAGACCTGCTCAAAAAAGTCCTCTCATCATTTCGACGTGAGCCTTCTCAGAAGATTGGATTGGTGCAAGTTGGCGGATGGGTCAAGGAGAGGAAAAGATATCTTGAATTCGTGAATCGATTCGCATTTTTGGAGAAGCAGATCAAAGGAGGGGCGAGAGTGACGAAGATACCAATAGGAGGGATATGGTAGAGGACAGGAGGGCAGGTGGACAGGGGTTTAACTCAAAACTCACCAAAAGTAATCCCTACAAATATCACTCATCTCTTGAATCCAAGCTTTGAAAACCCTCGGTCTATGAGCTTGAGAAATAAACTCATGTATATCCTTTTTATCTTTCTCCTCGGGAATCAACAACCCTCTGACCACTTCAACGATATCGACCTCAACCTCCGAACCAGGAATCTTATGGGGAGTTTCGAATCGTAATGATATAGGTCGAGAGTTGGGATTAGGTATAGTCGCTATACCTGTTGGTGGCATACGGACCTGACCTGAGTCACTTGAAGTTGAACCAACCGAGGGATTCAGCTGGTGTGGTGGGAGAAGAGGGAATAATTCGAATAAGAATAACCATAATTCAACCATAATTTGTCTTGTAGCTAATTCACCGGGTTTCTTTTCAGAGAACATTAATCCCGATAAAGCTGGAAAAGGTTTAGGGAACGAAGATCGAAGTGCTGTTTTGCCGATTTCAGATGTGGAGAATGCTTTTATACAACGGAGAATTTCGTATAGCATTTGATCGTCATGCTGTTCTTCTCTACTTTGTTAGCTGAATACGATCATCAGTATGTCAGCTTGATGTGGAACCGACCAGATTGTTACATGAGGGGTGGAACGTGATTAAGGAGCATTATTGGAATGTAAAGTTGGAGGAGAGGTATGAAGTAGAATTACTAAGGCTGAGAGACATGAAATGAAGGAGATAGATTAATGTCCAGATGGGAAAAAAGTATAAACCCACCTCCACTCAATATCCAGTAAATCCTGCAACCGAGCCAAAACCAAATCATATCCTCCCATGTTTACAAACTGCCCCACCCACATGGTCGTTTCATGTCTCAACAACATTCTCAATTTCTTACATCTCCCAACATCCATATTCAAATCTGTCCCTTTGTGTGATTGTAACCAAGAAATGAAAGCATCCGGTCTTTCCATATTCATCCCTTGATTTTTCTTTCCCACCGAAGCCATATTTCCTCCTGCTTTTCCTATCGAAGAAGTGTTTCCTGATTTACTGATACTACCAGCTGAATTGGAAGTGATAAACTTACTTCCTGGTCCAGTGGATTGTCTACTGTTTGGTGGTCTACCTTCTCCCCCGTGACCCTGGGAACTGCCGTCCTCACGATATATTGCACCACTATGATGGAATGCATTGTGCTTTGGAACACGTTCATTTGGTAAACTTGGTAAAGCGTGTACTTTGGGTAAATTGGGGGATAAAACGTTATTTGGATCAGGTGAACTAAGTGGGGAAGCAACGATCACAAATTGATCTCCATCAACTTGATATGTTTCTCCTACTTGAGAAGGACCGTTCAGAGATGAAGAAGATTTCGGACGACGAAGAAGAGGTGTCGACATGCGTTTCTTGATCTTTGGTTGGGTTGGGATTGGTAGACCAAGGGAAGATAGGATGATGGCGTTTCCGGAGAGTGAAGATGATATGAGGGAAGATTTAACATCTGGAGAGACTGTTGAGAATTTCTGTCGGACAGTTTGAGGGATTTGAAGGGTGTCCTATGTATCAAATAACATCCTATGACATAGGTCTGGAGAGAGGGAAACAGTAACGTACTAATAATTGATCAAAATGAGCTTCCATATCATCTGTCTCATGTTTCTTCTCTACCTTCTTATACCCTTCATTCTTCCCTATCATCGAACCCGTTTGACCTGGGTGTTTGTCATTCGGTAAGATATTATGTTTCGTACTTTCCTTCAAACTATCTTCCGACCCGGTGGAACCCGATGGAAGTATAGGAGTGAGTTTCGTTCCCACTTGAGTCAATTGAGACGTTCTGAAATCACCCGCTTTACCTGTCCTCGGCTGTCTAGGTGGAGGCATTGACATTCTTTGAGTAGGTTGATTGATATTTGATCTCTGTACCATCTTCTGTCCTTGGACATGAGATGTCTGTATGGAGTGGATATTGTTCGAAGGGTGATTTCTATTATTGGAAGCTGAGTAATCTAGGGAGGTTTGTTGTTGCAGAATAAAAGGTTGAATATTGGTCATGAGAGTAGGTTGAGGGATCAGTCCATGTTTGGTTCCTTCTTGTGATTGAAATGTACCTTGTCCGGAAGCTTTCCTGACTATATGAGAAGACATCGGCATGCCAGGTCTTACGCTAGGTGGAGGACGACCACCTGAAGGTTTACGTGGTGTAGGTATAGGTGTGGACATTGTTTGTGATTGAAAAGGAAGAGAAAGAGGGTTGGATGAACGCAAGGAAGGAGGGAAGGAAAAGCAGCCGCGTCACAGTGGGGATTAAGTGCCACATCAGTACTACTCACATAACACCGCGTATCCCCGCTCACCTCTTTCTTTCCATCTTGCACCTGCAGCATGATATATCCCGCAATATCAAGCTTTGTCTCTCAAGCTCAAACAGGTGGATGAGAGGAAGAACGAGATACAATGGCGACTCTCAACCTACCCAAACCTGTGAAAAGCTACGCCGAGGAAGACATCCTGAGACCGAAAGTCAATGGCACGTCGTCAAATGGTAACGGAGGTGGAAAGGCGCACGATGGTGAGGATGGACAAGATCAAGAGATGGAGTTTAGACCACCGAGACCTAGTGATAACCTCAAAGCTGGTATCATATATCCTCCAAAGGAAATACGAGGTGGGTTTCTCACATATACTCTTGTCCAACGCTTCGTCATTGTGGTGTCTTCTCTCAGTATTCGTTGCCGTCGAAGGGACAGTAATCAAAGCAGGAGAAGGAAATAAATGTGTCGACTCGTTTCGCTTACATTCAGCCATCGTGGACAAAACAGCCGCTGCGGTCAATAAATCACCCACTCCATCTCAATTAGAACAAAAAATAAGAGACCTTCAAAAGACAGATCCGAAATTCTCTTTCCTCAACACGGATGATCCGTATCATCAATATTACCGATTTATGAGGGAGAAATTATTGGAAGATGCTGAAGATCAAGCGAGAGGTATACAAGTTGCTACTCCTGTCACAGGGAAGAAAGAGGAGAAGAAAGAGGAGACTGCTTATGAACCAAGAGCTTGGGAATTTAAAGTTGATTTACCCGGTGTCACAGCTATGGATCTGTGAGTTTTCCTTCCTGTTTTCTTCGATCACACTCCTGGGTGGACGGGCAAATTGATGGAAGAACAACTGCGAAGATAGAATGGTCTTAGCTGACATTTAGGGACATCCTTCGTCTCACAGCTTTATTTCACGCTCGTAGAGGTCGTTCTTTTCTTTCATCCCTTTCAATGAGAGAAGGTCGTAATTATCAATTCGACTTTCTTCGTCCTACTCATTCTCTTTATGGATATTACAATCGTATGGTAGAATCTTATCAAAAAATTATGCAACCACCACCTGGTCTAATCGAAAGACTTGTAAAAGAATCAGTCGATTCCGAAATCAAATGGAAGACTCTTGATGAAGCTCGTAATCGTGCGGAATGGGAACGCAGTCGTCGTAAACGTCAAGATGAAGAAACTGCAAAAAGAGAAGAAGAAGTAAAAGCTTTTGCAGCTATAGATTGGCAAGATTTCGTAGTTGTTGAAACTATAGAATTCACTCAGAATGACATGTCATTGGAATTACCTCCCCCGACAAGTGTGGACAAGTTGAGATCGATGAGTATGGCAGAGAAGAGAATGGCGAGTATGGTGATGGAAGAAACTGGTGCTGGTCCGACAGGTCCGACGGGATTGATACCTCCTGCTCAACAAGCTTTGGAGGTACAGATGGCAGAGGAAGAAGCGGAGGAGGTTAGATTACAGAGATTGAAGGCGGAGCAGGAACAAGCGAGAGCGAGGGAGGTTCAAAGAGCTGCTATGCAACAGAAAGGTGTTAAGATCAAGACGGATTATGTGCCAAAAGGTGGGTTTGGGCCTGGTCATCTATTTCTGCTTTCTTCTTTCCACTTTACCTGCCCCATCCGTCGTTTACCCAATTCTTTTTGTCTCATGATCGACGTCGCTATGAGTTGATCATTTGTTATGTTATTGAAAGGGCACGTCAGTAGGAGTGTGCTTGTGAATACAATTTGCCCGCCCATGCTCACTCTTCAGGCATCCAACGTCAAACCGAAATCCTCATGTCTAAATGTCCCAATTGTGGTCAACTCATACCCGAAAACGAACTCACCGAACATATCCGTATCGAACTACTCGATCCTAAATGGAAAGAACAAAAACGTGTATTGGACATGCGTAAAGCCCAATCTCAACAAATGCAACAAGGTACCGACGTTTCTGCATCTTTAAGAAACTTGGCACAAGCACGTACGGATCTATTCGGAGATGAAATAGACGAAGCTGAACGTCGTAGAAGAGAAGAAGAAGAAAAACAGAAAAGAAGAGAAAGGGAGAAAATCATTTGGGATGGACATACGAACTCTGCTCAAAAAACCGAATCTACCTTTCAAGATAAATTCACTTTGGATGAACAAATCAAACAGATGCACACTAGGATCGGTGTTGTTGAACGTACGGATAATGGACCAGGACCTCAAATAGGACCTGGAGTTATATCACTTCCAGTTAAAGAAGTGGAGAAACAACAAGCTGATTTACCAATCATACCGAATCGTACAAATTTACCTCCTGCTCTAGCTGCTTCTTTACCGAAAATAGGTGGTGGGACAGCATATGAAGGTTCTACTATTTCTGCGGAACCTACTGGACCCACTACGAAAGAATATTATGAACCTATTCCTTCTAATTCCCCACTTCCTTCTTCTTCTTCAACAACTATCACTTCAACTTCAGGTCCTTCTATTCATCCATCAAGATTAGCGGCAATGTCAACAACATCAACACAACCACATGGTCAAATACGTCAACGTGAAGAAGATATATCCCAACAACAACAACAACAACAATTCAAAAGACCTAGAATTGAAAAACTTCCAATGGGTCAATATTATTCTGAAATCGATTGGATGTCATTACATCCTGAACCTATTTCTTTATCTATTCAATTACCAAACATGCCAGAAAAACCAGAATGGAAATTGAACGGATCGATAATAACCATATCGGATTTATCAGTCAGTACTTTGGTTTCTACATTGAGAGAAAGGATCAAAAGAACTGTTGATGCTGAATTACCTATATCGAGGTTGAAGTTGGATTATGGAGGTAAAACTTTGAATAATGCTAGTACTTTGGCTAGTTTTAATTTGGATGAAGGTGATTTGGTGGTGATGAGTGTTAGGAAGAAGTAGTCGTGTTTTGATATGCATCTGATGATTGATTACTTTGTCTTGTGGGTTTGTTGCAAACATTGATCAGTTGTCACGCACATTCTGCGTGCTATAGTAGAGTAGCAGCCTACGCTGCATGCCTGTATGGTCACCAATTGGACAAAGGACATAGGGAGAAAGAGAAGAATGAGAGTGGGGGGAGGGGGCAAGTGGGGGACGACGATTGACCACTTGGCATCTTCCACCTCTTTCTCCTTTCTCCTCCATCTTTCCATCTTGTACTTTAACATCTTATCCTTTTGTGATCTACCTCCGCCATCTTTTAGCTCAACAGACATATAGGCATGTTCCATTAGACTTGGACAAGCGACAAAGTTACGAGGGATGAATAATCATTCAACTTGAACCTGATCAACCTGGACCAGCCTCGTAACAAACTTCACAATCTCACTTTCAAGACTTGTCAGAACGATGATTCCTACGAACGATCAAACCCTAACATAATCAACTATCCATACAAAATGGACCAACATACATCTCAATCCCATTCAAATGGTTCAAATGATTATGAACCCATATCAAATTTACAAGACCACGAAGATCCATTTCAATCAAGTCAGATAAGTCAAGTTGGTATGTCGGGTATTCATGAGGAATTGGAAGGAAGACATTCCTACGGTATTCTAGAAAGGTTCCAAGGGGATTCTTATAATGATGTGAGAGATGATGGAAGAGTTGGAAGAGATGAAGAAGTGTGTATGGGAAGAGAAGGGAGGAATGAGGAGAGAATGGGTCTGAAAGAGATGAGTTGGTTTTTGAGGATGTTGGTTGGTGTATCAACTTTATCAGGGTTATTATTTGGTATGTTGGGTTTATCTTCTTTCTCTTTTGGCTTCATCCATCTATCTCTCTGATTACTTGGTACATCTCTATCTCCCTCTCTATCCTGTAAGATGTCTCTTTGATTGAATGGTATCTTTTTCTCTCTCTGGCACTTTTTCATTCATCCCTCTATCTGTTCCTTGACGTTTCTCGTTTGTCAATGTGAATCGTATAACTCGGATATGTATTATCTAAAGTCAAACCTCCATCCTCATCTACACTTTTGAGGGGTGGTTCTGCGGTGGTGAATATGGGATACAGAACTCAATATGTCTCATCTTCTTCGTCATTCAATCAGGGAATCGTTCAATCGATTATTGATACTACATTCCGTTCATTCACAGCTAAACTATCAGTCGACAGTTTGCGTTAGAAAATGACAAACTCTCGGATGATCAAATGGATTGAAAGAGAATTGCTTGAAAGCTGAATGGAAGGATACGACACAGGTGTTATATCTGGTACTTTGGTAATCATCTCGGACGATTTAGGAAAGACTTTATCAAGTTGGGATAAAGTGAGTTTTTCTATTCTCCTGTCTTCCATCCCAATTATCCTACTCCCCTTTGTTTCCGTTTACACTGATGAACCCCTTCACAAAAACCACAATTTTCTTGTCACCAGATAGTGAATTGTTATCCTTGTCAAATATTACATTTACTCGTCTCAAATAATGATTCTCTTCTCCTCCATTAACAGGATTTCTCTACTCAATAACTCCAATATATCTACCCATGTCATACTTACTGCCTTTCATCATCACGAGATATCTCTTTCCGGTTTGTAAACTCTTCTACATGTTTCAGTTCTACGCTGGTCACATACTCATCATAGGAACTCATAACCTCTTCCACGACTCTAGGCGCCCTCTTAGGGGGATTGATATCGGGTACAATGAGCGACTATACAGGTCGGAAAGGTGTTATAGGAGTCGCTAGTGGGATCTTCGTCATTGGAGCTTTAGGACAAGCTGTATGTTATTCATATCCACCCTTTTAATTCCTTTACCTTCTTACGTACCAAACATGATCATATGCCTCAGCTGCTAGCTACATATTTTTAGAATACTTTCATGATATTCACTCGTCAACCGAATCGAATCTCCTCAGTTTCCATGTTAATCATCACCCATCTGTGAGACTATGGCCGCAAAACCCATTGTCAAATGAGTGCATGTCGATTGCATTTCAAGGAGAGACATTTTTTATCACGAGCATTCATGCATAGCTCTCCCAAAAGGTTTCGCTGACCTGACTTCAGATATCACACACTATAATATCAATCACAATAGGTCGTTTTGTCGTCGGTGTAGGTGTGGGATTAGCATCTTGTATCGTCCCTCTTTATATCGGTGAACTTTCCCCGGCGAATATGAGAGGGAGGTTGGTAACTCTTAATGTCGTTGCTATTACTTTAGGACAGGTCGTTGCGTATGGTAAGTCTTGCTGGTTTCTCCTGTCCACCCCCCTCGGCAGTAACTCACTGAACTCCTTTGATCAGGGTCATCCCTATAACCGCTATATCTTTTCTCAACCCACCTCAATCCACATATCAATCTCGGAAGCTCCTTCCCGATTGACTTTGTTTTCGTATCACTGAAGTTGATATCCCCGCCCTCGATGATGGCGTTGCAGAAAAGGGTATAATGTTGGTATGAGTTGGGTTTGATCTTCAGTCATAGGAGCTGCGTTCCAAAATGTTTCAGGAGGATGGAGATGGATGGTAGGTCTCGGAGCTGTACCTGCTATCGTACAATTGTTCACCCTTTCTCTTTTACCCGAAAGCGGTGAGTCAATCGTTGTTTTCTTCCTCCAATTCCTCCTGCCGTTCTTTAGCTCCTGACTTACCTTCACCCAACTCCCCACTGGCTTCCAGTCTATCACGGCGACTAGGAATGCACACATCCGTCATTAACGAGCCGTCGCAGGCAATAAAAGGTTTTCTCGCAATTGTGTCATGGCGGGGAATTTTCAGCAGGGTGAGAGCTCATACGCAGCTCGTATCCTTTTACTACAAGGCAAGACAGAACAAGTCACCAGAATAATTGCCAAGATTTACCCACACGCATCCCAGGAAGAGATAATGCGTCATTCGGATGAAATGCGATCAGCAGTGAGAGAATCGATCAGGATAAACGAGAGTACTACTTGGCGTGAAAGATTGGAGAGTCTGTTAAGAGATGGTCCTTCTCGTCGTGCGTTGAGTAGGTGTCATTCCGCTTTCTTCTCTTATACATCCTCCCTTGGAAACCCCACTTGTGGATATAGAATGATGTGACTTTCTTTGACCTCCGACTTGGTTCACTTCCCAAGACATCGGAATGTCCTTGGAGACTTTCATATCATATGACTTGTTCCTCCTCGCCGATTTCCTTTCTCACCCCGCCTCCTGATCCTAAGCTTCTTTCGTCTCAGTCATGGTTTCCACTGATGGGGATGTTGACCCTTGTGATATTGGTCGATTTGACTGACAAACAGTCATCGGTGGTGGACTTCAGGCATTACAACAATTATCAGGTTTCAACACTCTCATGTCAGCTTTCCTCTGTCTCTTGTTGTGTAAGCTCATTAGAGAGGTATTACTCGGCTTCTTTGTTTGCCAGTTTGGGATTCAAGAATGCAACAGCTGTAGGGGGTTTGATCGCAAGTGTTAATTTAATGTTCACCTTAGTCGCTCTTAAAGTGAGTTTTGTCATTCACTTGTATTCCCATCATGTCCTACCATCACCATACGCGAGTCCTTTCTCGCCAGACAGTAATTATTCGTTTACTTCCTTGGTATGTTTGATTGATGTGTGATAGAGGAGATAGTAGCGAGGCTCTATGGGTCGAACAAGTCCTTGAAGGACCAAGAGAAAGCTTACTGTAGACGGTCGATAGATTAGGTAGGAGAAGAACAATGTTGTTGACTGTCCCTGTAATGATTATCGCTCTTCTTTTGTCCAGTTTCTTTTTTCACCGTGAGTCATCGTGTTATCATCTTAACATTTTCTCATTCTTTCACCCAATGAAATCCAATGTACTTAACGATGTTCTCATAAAAATGCTATGTAGAAGTATCAACTGAATATACAGTATTGACATCTTCCACCGGTGGAATCTTAGTCGATGGAACACCTTACTCTCGTTCCCTCGCTAGTTTAGTAGTAATCAGTATGATGATTTACGTCGCTGGTTACGCAGCTGGAGTAGGTAATATACCTTGGCAACAAGGAGAGTTGTTCAACTTGGAAGTTAGAGGAATCGGAAGTTCAATTTGTACTTCTGTCAATTGGTAAGTCCTCTTTTCCTTTCACTCTTTCCTGTATCATCTTTCGTCGTCTTTCATTCGTACTTCCTTCCTTCCTCGCCCTTCCTTTCTTCTGTGACTTGCTTTCATTCTTTGTACTCTCCGTCATCATTTTGATCCCATGTACGCTCAGGAAGTACTATGTATAGGATCCTCATCATTATTCTCAGTCTGATACCTCTGTGGTTGAGTGAGAGGTATTAATCTCACTCTGATACCTCTCTGTTCGAGTGAGAGGTATTATTCTCAGTCTAATACCTCTCTGGTTGAGTGAGAGGTATTATTCTCAGTCTGATACCTCTCTGGTTGAGTGAGAGGTGGATGGAGATCGAAGATTGAATGAGAACATTATGATGATATATCTATCAACGCTATAAGAGACGGGGATGGGGGGAGACAAAGAGAAGAAATGTTCGCTGAGATATTCAGGACGTGTAACCTACTCATAGCTTCTACATTTTTATCTCTCATGGACGCTATCTCACCTTCTGGAGCGTTCTTGATATACGCTATTCTTTGTGTTGGAGGATGGTTCTTCTGTTATTTTCTTTATCCCGAGACGTCAGGGTGAGTCTTTCCATCTTTGTCTGTCAACCTTCTTCTTCCTTCTTTTCGTTGATTCCGTCTTCTACATCTCAAACACACCTATGATTTGATTGGTGTTCCGAGTCGTTATGTGACCCTTGCCTAGTTTGTCTTTGATATCCGTCTTTGACCCTCACCTCGTCGCCGGCTCTTTTTAGGGCCCAGCACACATGGCTCAAAGTTTTCCAAAGTGGATGGTTGTCTAAGAAAATTGACGGCCTTCTAACGCAAATCGTATGTCACTGAAAGTGGTTGTGAATGAATGAAAATGAGACAAGTCCATGACTGACGGACAGTCTTACGTTGGAACAAGTATATCAATTGTTCTCAGAAGATTTCGGAGTGAAGAAATCTTTATCATCTCCAATTATTTATGAGCCTCTTGGATCTCCCAGCCACGCATGGCCGTAGCAATACAATGTCAAATACCTTATGACCTTATGAATATGGAAGCGGTCACAAAAATAACACGATATGAATACGAATACGAATACGACTTGGTGAATTGGAGTCTATGAGAAATTACACTCTTCACCACTGGGCCGAGTCGGTAGTTAGTAGAAGATGGGTTGATCTTGGATTAGTGAGTCATCTCAACCATGTCTTATCGTATTTCAGTCGTTGATGTTTAGATCAGAAGAGTCAGTCACCGTTGGGTTAAAGGGATTCATGTTCAATACGGACAAGGTAAAAATGTACAGGAGTAAGTATCGGACACACTTACTCATCATTTTACGAGGTGACCTGTACGAGGACCTTTTCATCTGGGACTATAAATCATCTACACAAGTTTGAGTAGAGCAAATCCCAGTGATAGTTTTGAAAACAAAGTTGATCAAGGATCAAGGAACTGGTCTATCCGATCTGAACGATAAGTTACTTTGTCTTCCTTGTTGAGACGGTGAGAACACGGTAGAGGGTATGCATAACAATGTGATTCTTGATCATTACCTGTATTATTCTATGTATGACAAGTCACTCATTGTATCATCTTTTGTCATGGTTTTATAAACCATATCACTGAACCTTCGCCTCATGTCCAAAGTAAAACAAGGAAAAGTAAAAAAGTACAAAGTCAAAGACAATCGTCAAGTCAAAGATGTAAGGTAAGTAAGGAACACAGGCAAAATGAAAGAAATCTCATCTTCGTTTCACCTCATCTCAACATCTCTCACTTAAACTCGAACTCATCTTCTACTAAGGTAACCAACTCTACCTCTACCTCTCAATATAAGCAAATCTTATGACATGTCTCGTAAACGTCCATTATCACCCACCACATCTTCACCGTCTACCTCCATCCCTTTACCCTTTCCAAATCCTGACATCACCCCCGAATTTACAGAACCCCACGAACCTCACGAAACCATCATCCTTCCTATTCCTACTTCACAAGATATCCAACATTCAACCTCTTCGCCTGATATAGTGGACGATCCAAATGAGGTAGAATCCAATATACACCTTAACAACCCGATGAATACTTTTAGTGATGTACCTACACCTACCTCTCAAGGGAATGAGGAAACATCGGAATCTTTCAACTTGGGTGTAGAACCTGATCTAGGATCAAGTCAATCTACAAGATCTGTACATGTATCTCATGGTCTCGAGGGGGATGTAATCATGGGAGAAAGATCTATAGAGGAAAGAGCTGGACATGTGTTTGAGGGGGAATTACAGAGTGGACCATCTGGGGAAGAACAACGTTTGATTGAACCTTTCGAAGGAAAGGAGATACATCCTTCTGAATCGATTGAAATACAAGAGATACATAATGGAATGGAAAACAGACATACTGGAATACAAAATATACAACCTGCTGGACCATCTGGAATACAAGATATACATACTCCCCAATCATCCGAAACACATGCAAAGGTAGAAACACACTCACACTCACATACTCTACCATTAAATTTAGGTAGAACAACAGGAACTATCGTCCCTGGTTCTGGGGATGGTTTAGGTAATGGGGAAGAATGTTTTTTATGGAGTGATTTACCTATGAATAAAGGTGGTAAGTTTGATGGTTTTTTCTTTATGATTATCATCTTCTCGCTTCCAGTTTCATGATACCAAATGAGCTTGTTCAGCTCCAATCTCTCCCCTCACGAAATTCATTCTCATCCTCTGAGATGGGGTATCGATCTCGCATTTGACACTTCCAATTTGAAATCTGACCTGATTCAACATACAAAACAATTCAAATATCCTAACTGACTCCAAGGATATAGATACCTATTCTGTTCCCCTTCCCCAACCTATTCCCCATACCAACCATTCTATCGTACTCTCCCACCTACATCTCCATGTCCACCAGTCCATCTTTCATTCCTAGATAGATCACCTTTCCTACGTCTCTCTTCAACAGGTTTAACATGTACGGCCGAAAGAGGTTTTCGATCAGCTAGATCAAACGTCTCTGTTAGACGTGGGACATGGTATTACGAAACTACAATACTTCGTGGTGTTGGTTCTTCAGGTGGTTCAGGTGGTTCTTCATTCGAAAATGGTAATCCTCATATTAGGATAGGTTGGGGTAGAAGAGAAGCTAATTTAGAAGCACCGGTAGGTATGGATGGTTATTCTTATTCTATCAGAGATGTAGGTGGTGAGAAAGTACATATGTCGAGGATAAAAGAGTATGGGAGAAGTTTTGAGGAAGGTGATGTGGTGGGATGTTTGATTGTTTTGCCTGAGATGAAACAACATCATCAACAACAACAACAATTATCCGAAGAAGGAAATGAAAATGAAGAAGGAGGAATGGAGGGAGGGAGAGGTATAGGAAGTCTTAGTAAAGCAGAGTTTAACGGAATCCATAGGAAACGTGTTGTCATAAAATTCAAAGGAGGAACATATTTCGAAATGGAAGAATATCCCGTGGTCAAAGAAATGGAGGCTTTGGTCGATAGAGAAGGTAAGTTATCAACTTTATCGAAATCTATCAGACAAGAAAATTCTCTTTCTTCAACGGATCATACGAACAGTCCGCCACCCTTTAACATATCGAATGATGATTCAAATGTTCTACCTCTTTATTCCTTTGGAGAACATACCAACGGTTTACCTCTTACTTCCTCTGATGATCATACCAATGGTCTACCTCTTTCCTCATCAAACGATCATACCAACGGTCAAACTCTGTCTTCATCAAACAGCCATACGAACGGTCCACAAAAATCAAGTAGAAAAGGAATGACCAAAAATACCAAAAGACCCAATCCAGGACCGCCGACAACAGCGAAGGCCATTTCCCCACCTGTTTTGAAAGGTAGCAGGATAGAATTCTTTTTGAATGGTCAATCATTAGGTGTGGCATTTGAGGATTTGTTCGATTTCGCTTATTCCTCTCGACATCAAGATCACACCGTTGATCATCAAGGTGGAGTAGGAGAGGGGAATTTGAGAGAGAAGGAGAGTATGTCAGGGAGAGGGAGGGACGGACGGGAGAAAGAAAGTACGTCGGGAAGAGGGAGAGGAAGAGGTGGAAAGAGTGGGACAGGTAGAGGAAGGGAAGATTCTGAGATTAGGTTTGATCAGGGTGACATGAATGAAGGTGGTGTAGCCGCGAGCGGAGGTGGTGGTGGTGGAGGGGGAGGAAAGAAAACCGAAATCTACGACGATGGAACATTAGGTTATTATCCAATGGTATCTTGTTTTGGAAAAGGCAAACTTCGAGTGAATTTCGGTCCTGATTGGGTTTATCCACCTGAAGGAGTTGTATTTGAAGACGCATCTTCTTCTACGACAATCAATCAGACTAGACCACAGAAAAATATCAACTTGGAATCGGATAATTCGACAGTTAATAAAGGTCAACAAGGAACAGAAGGTGATATCGCCGATGACAAAAACCTCATCCAGAGTTCGCGTGACAATGAGGTCGGTATATCAGATGAAAATGCCCATACTACCATGATCAAGAAAAACGACAGAGTCCCGATAGTGGCCAAAGCGATGATACATCGTTATTCAGAATTCAGGAAAGAAGAAACAGCATTAGACGAAAGAGATGAAGCGTTTTTGACTCAAGAATACCAATCACGTCTTTTGGAGATGAAACCTATACTTCCTACATTGAGTGCGGTGAGGTCGCAGTCGACACCGGAAAGGTCTCAATTTGGAATTGGAAAGGAAGAGAAGATCTTAGATGGGGTAGATGGACGGAGAGGTAGAGGGAGAGGGAGGGGTAGAGGTAGAGGGTGGAAGAGAGGTAGAGGTAGAGGTGCAGGGAGGGGAGTATCTAGGGGGGTTGAGGGTAGGAGTGAGAGTAGAGATACGCCAGGGGAAGGGGATGGGATGATGGTGGATTCAGAAGGAACGCCGGGAGAAATGGAAGCGGGGATGATGGAAGGGATGAATGATAGGAAAGGGTTTGAAGTGGAGGGAGGAATTATGAATGATACAGATACGATTGAGAATAAAGGGATGGAAGTGGATGAGATGGAAGTAAAGTTGGAACCCAGTGGAGAGACAGGGATGGGAATAAAGCACAGACCGGTGGACGTACGAGGGGGAGAGAATGATATGGAGGTGGAGGTGGAGATGAGGTCGAGAGAGAGGTCAGATGAGATTGAAGAGGGGGGAGATGAAGGAGAGATGGACGAAGTGAAAGCGGAGATCTGAGTAGAGCCATTGTTTATTGTTGATGTAGCATTGCATCGTTCCTCCTATACCGTACAAATATCCCTGGTACATCTTCCCCTCATGCCTATCGATTCATCTCGTACGCCTATTGCTGATCTCGTGCAAATCATTAATATATGACTGGTGAGATGCTAATCACTTCACTAGACTCGTCCAATAATGAACCTCGCCCTTACTAGACGCTTACTAAACGCTTATCTTACTAAGTCTATTGTATGAATACAAGTAACTTACTAATGTGTTCTCAGCCTAGAGTCCAGTTTAATTTAAGTCAAGTACGTACGCTAAAACGATTCCAGAAATCCTTCAGGCACGTCATTCATTTTGCGTCATTGGTCCCTTTCCCCTTTCCCCTTCCCTCTCCCGCCCTTGTCCCTTAGCTCTAGACCCGTCCCTTCCGATGGCGGCCCGAGCGTTGATTTGTTGTCCCACATCATTAGTATTTCCATTAGTATTCCTTTTCATACACAAGGATACAACGAGTTAGGAATTTACTTTGGAACGAGATAGAACAAGAACAAGCAAGGACAAGGAGGACAAGAAGGAAGCCCCATAGAACAAGGTGAAGAAGAAAGCTGAGAGAAGAGAAAAAGACGTCATACTCTAGCTCCACCCTCGAGGCTATCGGGTTGCAAGTCGCTTCTCCGCAGTAGCTTCGACCATCGACTTGCAACCAACGACCATTCACTATCCACACCTTGGGAAAGAAGATTGCTTTGCATTTGATATACCGACAGGAAAGAACATTGTCAACACTCCCAACATGGTCTAGTTCCGACTGGAGAGAGGTCATATATTTCATCCTACAAAAAACGGCGATACGGCCATAAACACTTACACTTGATCCTCCCCCTCAATCATCAACTTTATCCAATCGATAGACATCCAACATCATGTCAGATGAAAAGGCTATACCTACAATCACTCTCCCTGATCCTTCTACCTCCTTCAAACCTTCTAACACTTTGAAACCCTCAAATCGTACTTCAACCCAACACCATCCCAAATCAACCCCATTCAACTTGTTCACCTTTAAACCATCTCGTCCTCGTCCTTCCTCCCGTCCCACTTTCCCATCTCATACCAAACCACGAATCCACTTCCAACCTCCCTCTTTCTCAACCTTTTGGGATAATTTCAAAAAACATATCGTCCCACCTACTCATCCATCAACAACATCTTCTTCAGAACTTGATTCTTCACTTCACACTGAATTGTTCGATCCTAATATATCAAATGAACAATTAGATTATCTTCATCCTCAAGCTGGAACAGTTAGTAAACATAAAAGAGGTAAAAAAGGTATTTCAGGTCAAGGTGCAAAACTTTTAAGAGGACCAAGTAATCATTCACATTCTAAAAATCGTCATTTTCGTAAAGAAAAAGAAAAAGCAAGAAGTAAATCTTCCAATGGAAATATGTCAAATCTTGAAGATGATGATGAAGAAGATGAAGACGATGCACATGTTTCTGAAATTGTCGTGGAAGGTGATTTAGATAGGTTTATACCTAAAGCTGCAAGGAGTGATTCAGGTAGTACGAACAAAAGTCCAGATCCAAGTTCACAACCTGGTGAAAGAAAACGTGATGTTGGTGGTAGTGATGATGAAGAAGTTGAAGATGGTAGTGAGAGTGAATATAAAAGTGGAAGTAAAGGTAGAAGTAAAGGTTCTGGATCAAAAGGTAAATCTGGTCGAATGTGGGAATGGTTTTTAGAAAGAGTAGTGAGAAATACTTTACATTTCTTCGATTCTAGATATCCAGATGAGGATAAAGAGTATACTTATCAGAAAGAGGTGAGTTATGATTATTTTTTGCTTTTCACTCTCATCGTTCCTTCTCATCGACTCATATGGGTTTCTGACACATTTCATTTCGACCATGGAGTTTGAATAAATCACTCAAACAAAACTTCCTCAACCCTACATGTACATCAACACTGTCGTCCATCTTTTCTTCCTTCAAAGGTTACTTCAAAAAGAATGAACAAGTGTCTCTCCGATAAAGATAAGGAAAAAACAAGAAGAAACTAAACTTCTAGGCATGGTTCGCTTCCAAATCATCAGCCCTAGTATCATCATGTTTCTTCATAGTATCATGGATATTAACAATATCACTATCAAGACCAATAGTACAAGAAAAAGTCATATCACAATTCGTACTAGGTGGTTGTTTCACATTACCATTACCTCTATTAGTAATGTGGGATTTCCCAAGACATCATCCTTTTATTTGGCAACCAATGTTATTCGGTGCAGCTTGGATCTTCGCGGATACTTTAATCGTCGAAATGAAATTGTGTGATTTCTTCGCTCCTGTCAACACTTGTACTCAAAACTTTTTGAACACGATGGGATTCGCTTTCGCTCAACCTACTTTAGCAATGTTATCTTTGAGACAAAATAGGTTATGGCATGCTTTTGGAGCTTGTCAATGGTTATGTTTGACCGGGGGGTTGTTAATGACGAGACCTAATCCTCCAAAACTTTTTTATAGGAATATGGCTTTGTGTGAGTTGTTTTACCCCTTCCCCTTTACTCTTCTCTTCTTTTCTCTTACCTTGGTCTCACTTTCCTGGATCATTCCACAATTTCTATCACCTAAGTCGCCCCATCTTGCTTCCCATAGTGCGTGCCCGGATGTCAAGTCACGCATCGCAACTGTCTTCATTCATATTTGACATTATCTTGTAAGAAGAATAGCCAGTGAAGTGGACCGAACTCGGATATTAATTGCAGTCCTCCTATTCCACGTCTTCCTCATCGTCACTAGTTTCCTTAGAGAAAGAGCAGATCGTCAGATTTTCGCTCTTCGTCAACAACTGAAATTTCAATTCCGGTATGTCCTCTTATGTCCCTCTCCCCATTTTCTGACCTTCATCCTCAACCCTCTTGCTAGTGTTCTGGATCGGTTCAAAATCCCGCTATCAAATCTTTCATATCTTTTTGTGTCAGAGATAAATCGTTCGACAACCATGCCACCAATTCTCCCGTCTTGTTTTATGTAGGAGACAACTTTGACATCCTCCCCTCTCTTTTTGTGTCAGAGACAACTCGTGCAACATCATACAGGAAAGTCCTACGATCGAAATGACTGAGTGACTATCATCATTGAAACTCACGTTACAGTGCAACCCAAAAAGCTCAAGTACTCGAACGTAAAGCGGCCGATTCGAAGAAACGTTTCGTCTCTTACATCTTTCATGAAGTCCGAGTTCCTCTCAACACGGCTCTTTTGGCCGTTCAGAACCTCGAAGGTGAAGGGGTGTTCAAACGAGTGGACAACGAACAGGCCGAGATGGTACATGGTTTGATGGGGAGTTTGAGTATGATGGAAAAGGTTTTGAATGATGTTCTCAGTTTCAACAGGATGGAGAGTGGTAAAGTGGGTTGAATTTACTCGTCTTTGTCCTCTCACCTGTTCTTATCTCACGACTCCCCAACTCACCCCTCGTCCCCGCTCTCTCCCCCTCCCTTCATGTTTGTATTTCAAGCCCTTCCTCCCAACTTGCTGCCCTGTGCTTCTTCTCTATCCCTCTTGTTCTCTCTTGAAGCCCTTCACCCGGGTACCAAACTCGAGATTCGAGATTCTCATGCCGATCACAATCATCCGCCCCTCACCACCACTGTTCAAACCCTTTGCCATCACACAGTGACATGATCTGACAATATAGTTCTCCCAAGCTCGTAAACAATTCGAATTCAATAAATCCATCCAACTCGTTGCCCTCTCTCACCGCGTCCAAGCTCAAGCACAAGGTATAGACCTAATCCTCGATTTAGATCCCTACATCGACAAAGTCGGAGGTATTTTTGTCGGTGATGAAATGCGTCTCCGACAAATAGCCTCCAATTTAGTTTCAAACTCTATCAAATTCACTCCATCAGGTAGTGTTCGTATAGTCACAAAACTTTTATACCCTCGATTGGATCCAACACCAGGTGTAGAAGCGGATGATCCTCTAGTACTGGCCGCACAGAATTTGCAAAGACAACAAGAGATGGAAAGGGATAGTCGATTGGCTAGATTAAGTTTAGGAAAGTATAAAGTCAATAGACGTACTTCTAGTGTGAATGGTTGGGGTGAAGATGAAGAAAAGGGTAGTGTACAATTAGAAGATATGCGTAGTTCTAAAGATGGAAGAAGAGATGAAGAAGATAAAAGATTAGGAAAAGCTGTTATAAGGGTTGAAGTACATGATACAGGTGTTGGTTTAAAGAGGTCTGATATGGCAGAGTGAGTTTAATCTTGTTTTCTTCCCAACCTTACCCCACATTATCACCACCCCACTTTCCCCCGGACTTGATCACATATCTTTCACTCCTCTCAATCATCACATCGTCGAATACTAAATTACAGTCATCGTCTTTTCTCCCCGTACGTCCAAACGGAGATAGGTAAAAGGCAAGGTGGGAAAGGATCAGGATTAGGATTAGCCTTGGTAAAGCAGATTGTCAAAGTATCAAAAGGTCGTTTAGGTGTCGAATCTCAAATAGGAAAAGGAAGTATGTTTTGGTTTGAAATACCTTACGCTATTCCTTCTTCCCGACCTGGATCTACGACTCCTGGACATTTAATGCCGAATCATACGGGTGGAACATCACATTCACATTCTTTTTCTCATTCTGGACAATATACTCCGCATGGTTAGTCATCTTATTTCATCTCGTCTATCCCTATTTCGTCCTTATAGTCTTTATTACAGATCCAACTAATCACCCATCACTGTACATTATAGAGCTCATCCATTTCATCGCTTTCATAAGAGAGAAACTCAGCCATCATCCTAGTACCACACATCAGAACAGCTTGTCTATCCCAAGGAAGAAAACTTATCTATCTCACCACTACCCTGTTGCAAAAAAGCTCATCTATTCTCACCACTTTGATGTACCCCGTTACTGCATCCTGGGGAAAAACCGAAAGTCATTGAATAATATCGTTCTCCGCTGACATAGTAGGAAGTCCAGTAATTCGTCGAGCACATACATTACAAACTGTCCCTTTGGATCAAGTGATAGAAAGTGTATTGTACGAACCTAGACAAAGAAAGATTTCGGAGCAGAGTCATGGGAGACCGACGATAGGAATGACTGAATCCTCGATCCCTTTATTGGCTGAGGCTCGAAAGGGAAGAAGGGTATGGGTGAGTGATTTTAAATTTTGTGCTCCTTTTCTTTACACACACACACACCCCACCCCACCCACCCCCCCACCCCCCAAACCACCCCTCACTCACTCATTTCAATGTTCCAGTCTTTCAGTCCGTCCATTCCGCTCTACTCTGTCCCCTTTGATCGATTTTCCCGATTAGCTCTGAGTCGTTCATCTTTTGGTGTCCCGACTACTGGACCTCTTGTTTCTCTTCACTATTTCGTTTTATCGTGAACTCATCTTCGTTATATCTCAATTACTCTCTGTTTTGTCATCCTCTCAAATTATATTATTTTTCCTTTATCTCTTAGGATCTCGAGTTTCAACTTCACTCCAAGTCGATTTAAACTGATCACCAGCTACAGACGAACCGACCGATATCCTAAACATAAGCGACACTTCAAGTCATAGTACCTCCCACACAGTCCCTCTCCCACTACCCGTCGATTACTTTTCCAGACCACCACCACCACAAGAAAGACGTTCTTCCGAAGTGAGCGAGAAACCTATAGTGGAAAGACCGACCACGGGTAGAAGTGTATCACATCGTGAAACATCAGATAATCCTACACAATCACAAGGTGGGGTATTTGATAGTCCTGTTTCTTCCACGCAGGAGAATCAAAATTCACCACTCCGATCTGGAATAGTAGAAAATTCTTTATCACATGGTGGTCTCATGATTCAAAATAATCAAATTCATAATGATCATCTTTCCCTCGGCGCACCAATACCTCCTACCGATACCATAGGTACCGGTACAGTTGGGGTCGCAGATGTGGGTGAGAAGGAACCTCCTTTGAGAGCGTTTGTGGTGGATGATGATAAGTGAGTCTTTGTTCCTTATATCTCATCTGATACTCCTCTCCTTCACTCCACTCACACTACGCTTGATAATCTTCGATCATGATCTCTATCATCAAACCCTCATCAACTTTCACCCGACGTACCATACTTGCATCATGTTTCGAAAAAACTTCAGCTGGTCTTATCCTTAGTCGACAGTC